CCCTTGCATTTTGCAGGCCCCTCATGTCTAAGAAAATTTCTGACGTATTTTGGTGACAACAAAAGGCAAGTCATGGCAATGCTTTTGTCAGAAGACATGTTGCACCTGGGAGCCGTCTCGAGATCGCTTTTCCTTGTGGCCCTATGCTCGCCTTCTTGCACAGCTACGTGTCGAGGCGAGGCACTAATAATGTCATGTCAGGCTTGTCTCAGCTGCCGGTGGCCAGCTTGCTTAGCCTGGCGTCTCTCAAGCTCGGCCAGATTGTCTTGCCCTTCATCCACGCCAATTGAGTAGTTCCATGTAGTCAGTAGTCCACTTCCTACGGTCCATGTGCCGAAGACATTCCTTCCAGGCGGACCGATGGATACAAGTTCCTCATGGTGCGCCGCAAGCCCTGCACACATCTGCACACCATGGAGTCAAGCTAATGTTGAGCAAGCAACCTGAAACCGAATGCTGTTCGTGCCTTCCAGCATGGCCGCATGGCAGGTCAACATGCTCGCAGCACCCAATGCGGCTGACGGGGTCAGCTCACCCGACCTAGGTAATTGCACAACATTCACCAGCATCTGCATGCAGAGTTTATCCAGTGCTGAAGTTGCTTGCAGCAAGCAACAATTGAGGCAATGGCACCTGTAACTAACGGCATGCTTGCCAGGTCATCTCAGATACCTGGGTGGAAGTCTTGGAGGACGGCCCACGTGTTCAGTGGGGCCTTTGCATTCTGAGTCATGTCCAATACTCTGCGGAGAGGCTCTCTCAATTGTGTCGGTGGTGTGCAACGTGGCCGTCCTGGCTGTGTCTGGCAGCAGGCTGAAGAAGCGTGAAGGAAGTAACTACTCCAGAGACCAAAGAGTTGCCAGTTTGGAAAGCACGGAGTGATGTTTGCAACGGAGCCAGGCCTAGGCCTTGGCACGAAACTGACACACAAAAAAAGTACGGATCGAACATCTGAGCAGCGCACTGCGCTCATCGGCCCAAATTTGAGCCCGACGGCCAGCAAGAGGCGTCTGAGGCACCTCTGGTTCAATGGCGGCAGCGGAGCGCGAAGCCGCCAAGGCCCCGCTAGACCCTTCTGATCTCCCCCCCATCCTTTCTCACCGTTCTTGGGTGGTAGAGGCGTCCATTGGGAACAAGAAGATGAGACAGCAAAATGCCTCTCTGAAGGATTCTTGCCAATCCAGCCAACATATCACGAGCACCAGCCACCTAGGCTTTGCAAGAACAAGAACATGCAAGGACCACGCCCTTCCAACGGCTCGAGGCAGTGCCTCGGCGCCTACTCCAGGGACGCTGAGCTTCGGGAAGGAAGGAAGGAAGCTTCTTGGAGTGATGGGTGTTGCAATTAATTTATCGCGACTGCTGCTTTCCGAAGGTTCGCCTGCGGGTCCTCATCAGTACCGACCTGGACCATGTGACATGTGCGGGCTCCCTTCTTGGGGTACACGGGCTTCAAAGAACAAGAAGAAGAAGCTTGTTTTGGCATTTGATGGCGACTGGTTGGCACCAACAAGATTTCCGCTTCTGCAAACAAAAATTGAGCAGCAAGCGTATTGCAGGGAGGGGCAAGACACAAAGGGAGCCTCCTAGCTTCCCAACCCGAGAGCGTGGCAGAACGCCAAGAAGGCAACAACATGGTGTTGCTGGGGCGCTTTTGCAAAAAAGCATGATGCGTGTAAAAATGACCTCCTGAAGTACAAGTCACAAGGTAAGGAAAAGGAAGCGCCAGCACACTGCAGTGGGGGAGATTCCGGGCTTGAGACATGAAGTTGAAGAGGTACAGTACCACAGTTCATTAATGGCTTAGGCCAGAGAGGGCTCCAGCGAACTCGGCAAGCCATGACATTGTGCGAGCAGGTGGACTGCATTGTCTCTAGCAGTCCTGGAGCATGCCTTGCTGATGTTCAAGGCTGGTTGCCTTTGTATCTCTGCTTGAGCATGCCGCTGTGCAGCTTCTACTATGGAACGTACTGTTTCGCTCATGGCCACGTTTGGGTTCACCTGCTAGCCCACGAAGTATGGGCACGACTATTTGTCCGCTTTTTGTGTGAGTTTTCTAATGGAACTCGGCTGCTCCTGTTGTGCGGCTCCAGCTCGGCAGGATCATGATCTCTCTCTACAGAAAGCAGTCTCCTGACAGTTTTCACGAGTTTCATTGAGCTGTATAGACGGGCCAGATGGAGAGAGACGTCAGACCAGACACTCTTGAGAGACTTTCATTCAAACGGTAGGATGTACTTCAAGCAGCATAAACGATTGGTGCACCTTGCTGCGTGCGGTCACAACATAAGCCCTGTCGTTCCGGATGAATTCGCAGGCCCGGGCCAAGGCTGGTTCATATTTGCCGGGGCAGCGCTTGGGATGGTGTGTTGAGGCTGGTGATCTGGAGTACCTTTGCCAGCCCAGATCTCAGCTCGTGCCTACTCCAAGACAGCAACAGCAGTAGCCCTTTTGACCAGGGCAGAGCTGCCATACTTGGCTGTTTGGCCTCTTGCAATTTGGGGCTGGCAACAAGTCGCCGGGCCCTGGCAGCTCGGCACAAATCCGGCGGGGCAAGGGCAATCTGTGATTCATCTTGTGTGGCACGACTTTGTCTGGCAGTTTGGCATTCTAAGTTGCCAGGTGGGGGATGCATGTGGAGCCTATGATCCACTATCCGGCAGGCATGCATCACAGCTAATGGGCAGCTGGGTGTGGGTACTAAGCTTTGCGCGGCATCGGTCGACCAGACATCAAACTTGAAATTCAGGCTTCCAGAGCCTGCCTGTGACGTACATGCCGGCCAAGGAGCTTCTGCTGGGGCAAGAGAGCAAACCGGATCAGGAAACCGTGTGGCTCCAAATGGCATGAGAGTAGATCACAGTTCCGCTTCTTGGTCAATGTCATGTTGCAGGAGGAATGGGGCTTTCACGTTGGGCAGGCATCGAGCACAACTTCCTGCGAGGAGGTACCCCCCTTCACGGGACAAGTGTCAGTGTGCTTTCGAGATGCTTAAGCTTCCAGGTGTGCGGAAGCCACGCCACAGCACGTGGATCTCCGATGTAACAAAACCGGCGTCAGCTGCAGGAGGACGAGGACATGCCGGAAGACTTGCCCCGAGACTTGCAGGACCTGGCTTGCTTCCAATTGTGGCGACCACCAGTGCATGCAGCATCATTGCAGCTGTTTTTAAACCAGGATTCAACAGTTGAAGCCAGCGAAGCCAGCGACGGCTGCAAAGCTGCTTGGATCACGTCACGCTTCGCTTGGAAGTCACGGAGAGGGAGACGGCTAATGTGGAAACCTACGCCAGGCTGCAATACGTAAAACACTGGTGCCAAAAGCGTAAATCTCTTGAGTTAAACGCCTACTGTAACGGAGCATTTCCAGAGCATGTCCATGATGTGGCTTGATGTGGAGATGTGTGGCTTGGAGCTTTGAGAGAGAAGCTTGGAGAGTGGCATCAGGTCGAGCTGAGAGGTTTGCCCTTCACAAGCACCTTGCAGGAGAGCGAAGTTGCATTTTCTGCACGCGCGGCAGATCAAAGATCATCGGGGATATAGCAGCTTTAGAATCAGCCAGCCTGGAGCAGGATGTTAAGCAGTTCCTGAAGGAACATGCTGTGAACCTTGCAGTCCGGAACTCGGCGAATGAAACGAGCCGTAGCAAGCTGACATTGTCAAATTTGTCGGTTGCCAGTTTCTGTGAGTCTGAGCAAAAAGGATTCCGGCATCGTGCTCAAAGCCTTGGCCTCAGCTAATCAGACGCTGGGATGTTACAAGCAACCTGAACACTCGCACACCCACTAAAGAGCAGACATGCGATGGCAAATGCAGACAGCCGCCGTTGTACGGCTTGAAGCCTCAGCCTTGGCTGTGGTGCAGTTGATATTCACCGCGTCGCAGTATGATACAGAGGTTTGTTGTGCTAGCACCATCTAGCACCCATTGCTCAGTAGGACATGTTGGTAAAGTACTTGCTACGAGGTGAACAAGGATCGGCGTCCGTCTGGTCTTGCAGATGTTAACTTCCGCTCGTCAGAGGCAGACTTTGTTTCATTCACTAGTAGTGATCCGTGCTGTGTCTTTTGTAAGAACAGACAAGCTGCAGAAATCTTTTGCAGGCCGCTCTTCAGGCAAAGGAGGCGCTGCACATGCAAAGGTTTGGCGGAAGATACATCGAGGCAGATTGACGCCTTGCTGCAAGACCCACTCATGCAGCTGAGCAGATGCTGAGCAGCTTTTCGGACCTCTGCATGGAAATGTTAGTCGATGTGAGTTGGTAGGTTCGGAGCCCGCGCTCCGGCCAGAAGCGACGCACTGCTCGCGCGGCCAGGGAAGCTGTGCGTGAGGACCTATGTCTTGCAGGGTCTGCTGCCTGCGCTTTGTTGGGGTGTTGCATTGACATCCATCTGGCTGGGTCTGAAGCACGGATTTCTCAAGATGTAGATGCAAGACTAGCAGTGGTCGAAATCATCTTGGCGCTGTGACCCTGCTTGTTGCGTAACATACCGGCATGGAGGTGCGCTGAGCATCTCAAAGAAGCTGGTAGGAAGCAATTGATAAGAAAGAGCTGATCGCGGGACATTCCACAGAGTTACCTCATGTATGAAACTGTGGCACCCCGACCCATGCAAGAAATCCAGGAGTCGCCCGCCACACCTCAGCGCCGTCCCATGACAATTATTCCAAGGCTCTTTGCTTGTTTTGTTGCTGCTCTTGCTGGACCTTTGCGGTAATACTCGCGATTGAGGTCGAAGGGCTTTGGGGTGATTGGTCGTCACGGCTCTTTCTCTCTGTGTGTTTAGCCTTTGGAGCATTGCGTGCTTTGCCCTCAACCTTCTTTATTTCAATCGCTGAAGACAAGCATGTCACGGCAGCACCAGCATATGTGATGTGTCTGCATTGGGGAATGTCCATAGCCATTTGGCTATCTTAGAAGATTGCGCTGCTGGCTATCTTAGAAGATTTTGCTGCAGTACGGCCCAGTGTCCTTTCCGCTCAAAAGTAGACGGAGAAGAGATGGCTGCGTTGAGCAACCTGAGCTCCATCGTAGAGAGTGGCAGGCATGCGTGCTACGGCATCGAGTGGCAGCTCACCGACGGCATTCTGGTGTCCAAGGAAGTCTACAACCCAGCGTGGCGCCTCGAGTATGCGGCCAGGGCTGGTCTTAGACGCCTTTTCACCAAAGAGTCTACCAAGTACACTTTCAAGCCAGGTGAGGGGCTTGTAGGCCAAGTCTTTGAGAAACAGGAGACAACATTCGTGCCAGACCTCCAGCAGCTGAGCGCGGAAGACGTCCGCGAGCTCATGTTCGCTGGGGCTGCATTCATCTTCAAGCGCAGCGGTCTCGCAGCTGAGTGTGGCATTCACTCGGCAGTCTTCGTGCCGACCAAGACCGGAGTCATGGAAGTTGGTGCAATGCTCGAGGTGTCCGGGCCAGACGAGCTGATCAGCTCGGCATTGATCAAAGCCATCAAGGAGGGCGGTGAGATCCCCGCAGTAAAGCCGAAAACTGTGGAGCTGCCGCCATGCCCACCGTGGCTTCAGAAAGTGGCCGAGAGCAGCCCCGAGAGTTGCTATGCCATCGAGTGGGCCATGAATGATGCGGGTGCACTTGCCGTCAACGAGAGCTACAATCCAGCGTGGCGTGTGCAGTACGCAAGTCAGGCAGGTCTTCCCGGCCTCTTCACAACTTCCTCCAAGGCCTTGACCTTCGGGCCGGGCGAGGGCGTTGTCGGTCACGTGTTCCAGGACCAGAAGCAGCTTTTTATTCCGGATGTGCAGAAGTCCGCCGCGGACGACATCCGTGATGAGATGTTCAGCGGCAACTACACAAGCTTCCTGCGTACCGATTTAGCAAAGACCTTCAACATCCGCTCTGCAGCTTTCGTCCCTCTCAAATCTGGGGTTTTGGAGCTTGGTTCCATGAAGGAGCTCAAGGACATGACGGCTTTGCTGACGGAGTCCGCCATGAAGGCAATCCAAGAGTCTCCTGTGGCCCTCGCCAAATAAAGTGCACAGCTTGATGGACAACTCTACAGATGGATGGAGTCCTCTGAGCTGGCAGTCAAGCCTCGTGTTGAGATGAATTGACCTCCCATTTAAAGTCACGCGGCCTTTTTCAAGTATTACATTAGATGCTGTTCTGGCAGTACCAACTGCGTTAACGAGGTCTTGACGCCTCCATTGTTCCTGCGTCTTAAAAAATTGCATGCGCCTTTCGGGCTTCAATGGGTTTGACGAGCTCAATGGGGTTTTTGCGTGGTGGGGCTTAGAGATTTGCAGGAGTTCAGAGCTCCCAAAGAGAGCTCACAGAATGTTGACCATCGTCACAGCTTCGATGCCCCCAAATATATGTTTCAGCATGCATTTTTCGCTCTTTGAACCCATCTCGCCGGTGTTAAATGCTGGCAGCATGGCAGCAGCTGAGCAGTCTGAACCGGGCTTTCCGTTGCAGGACGCCTTCCCCGCTGCGCCTCTGGCCCAATCAGGACGCTGCGGCAACAAGGGTTGGCATGACATCCCTGCCAAGTTACCTGACAAATTATTTTGTGGGCAAAGGCGTGTTGATGAGCCGTCACCCTCGCATTCTTCCAGGAGTCCTGCCAAGAGCAAGGGGCGCCGACACTCTTCCAAGAGATGAATCCAGGAGCAGGGCTCTGTTCGTGCTGCTTTTCTGGCCCACCTGATTCGGACTCTCTAAATCTTAGAGATTCATCTCACCGCTTTGCTGAGCACATCCTATTTATCCGACATGCAAGAGTTTAGCTGGACTGCCAGGAGCAGCTGTGGGGCATCCGGGTCTGGAGCATCCCCAAAACGTTTGTGAGAGCAAGTCAGAGAAGGTGCAGCTGGCAAAGTTGCAAAGTGTTGGCAGATGCACTGCTTGCAATCCAACGCCTACTGTCGCTGTCATGACATATTCCAGACAAGGCTCAGGCAACTCTGTGATATGTGAGGCCGCATCAGGCTCTGCAAAGGCAAGGCCTGCTGCGCCATGGCAAGTATGGTGGCAGGAGCGCAAGGAAACCTCCCCACCCTGCTGACAACTGGTGCCATCGCGAATGAGGAAGCCAGGGGAGGTAAAGCCACACAAGCTCCTCCTCAAGAGATCATGGTCACAGAAGATGAGAAGCGAATGTGTGCAGATGTCAAGTCCTCGCAATGCTACCAGTGCCTAAATTGTGGGACCACGCTAGCAGGAAGGGCAGCCCAACTGCGACTTCAGCACTTTCACGAAATTGGTGCGAAAGTTCGCAAGGATGACATGGGCTGGCCTTCGGTTCTGCCATACATGCTTCGCTATGACGGCCATCCTTTCACGGGAGGCACAGCCTCGACTATGCCGAACATTGAAATGTTTCAGCGGGATAATATTTTCTGGTGTGGTTTGGTGGGCGGCTTGTGCTCCAGCATGTGGAATGCCCGAATTTGCTGCAGCGCGCCCTGTGCCTTGCTAGGGGCAAACTGTGCAGCCGACGAGGCACACACCAAGCTTCTCCAGACGTCGCTGGACGATGCCTTCTTCAATGAGATTTTCAACCAGCGTTTCGGTGCTACCATGCTCAGGGCGCCGCTGCCGGGCGAGGATACTTTGAAATTGGAAGCCGGCGCTGTGATTTGCGATCTGGCTTCGACTATGGAAGGTCTCGAGGTGCGACCTGACCACCTTTTTCAGCCTTGCAACGTCCTCTTTCGCCAAGATCAGGAGCGTGGCCTTCTTGTTGAGGCTGTCGTGGTAATGCACGAAAACTCATCCCAGCCAACTGTTTATGAAAAAAACAGCTCCTCCAAGGATGAGTGGCTGTGGGCAAAACGGCTGGCCGTGGCGGGTGCGGTGCAACGGCACCAGTATACAGAGCACCTGGTGAATGGCCACATGGTGATGGAAACTTTTGTTGCTCTTGCCTACAAGCACCTTTCGGCTGAGCATTACGTGTTCAAACTGCTGGCTCCGGTCTGTGGCGATGTTGGGTTCGTGAATCGCACATGGGGCATGGATCTGATGTTGGTGAATGAGGGGGCGCCCTATGGACCATGCCTTCGACTCATGTCACCGCAGTCTCTCATGTCCACCAACGGTGTCCGCGACCAAGTTGCCCAAGCACGCCAGCGGTTTGAGCCTGGGCGTTGGTTCTGGTTTGACGAAGGAGGGTACATGCAGGGAGGATGCGGCGTCAAGCAGTCCACAGCTTTTCCCTTGCGAGACACAGCACGTCAGCTCTTTGAGATCATGCTCTCGTGGGCCAGCTCAGTCGTGGAAGCTTGCTGGCAGGAGCAGGACGAAGCGCTTGCATCCTGGTGGCGTGCCATATGGTGGAAGCAGATGAAACCTGCAAAAAGAGAGCTTTCTCAAGCGGCTTTGTCGCACGTGCTCGCGACCTGCATCTTACAAGCCACCTTCGTGCATGACTTGGCTCATGACTCCTGGCTGCCTGATAATCACTCGCAGCTCCTGTGGAAACTGAGGAGCAGGGGTACTTCCTTTGACCCCAAGGAATACCTGCCTTCTGTGGCTGAGCAAACAAGCTACAGGCTGGGGCTCCTGGCTCTGAACACCGGAGCGCTTGAGAGCCCGCTATTCTGCTACCGAAACGTCTTCAAAGATGACTGTCTCCAGGACGCTCGGACAGCCTTCGAGGACAGCCTTGTGCGAATTATTCTCGCAACGCCGTACCTTACGAAAATGGGAAGCATGTCTCACTGAAATCTCCAGCGGCACAAGGCCCGGAGTCCTGTATTGCTTTGGGCACAAGGCCCGCAGTTTTCTTTCCCAGTACCTGCTGAGGAAATGAGGGAGCTCAGAGTCCAAGGTGGCCAGCTGTATCTGATTTCGAAGGTGCTGAGCAGGAAATTCTAGCACATGCCCGTTTGCCATGGAGCTTCCGCTGCCCCATACTGGCTGTTGCATGCGACTTGGAGATTCTCATGATTGCTTTCATAGACCTCAAAACCAGGTTCCTTGCCAGAACTCTCCGAATCCAAGTCGAGCAGGCGAACTCTTGGGATGCGAAATTTGTAGTGGCTGACATTGCGTCTGGCTTCACAACTAACTCTTACCGGCAGGCTGCACGCTTGTTGGCCTAAAGAGCCACTTCCAAGTTGAGCAAAGTAGCGCAGGCAGTGCAAGGGCGCTGTCCAAAGAGCTGGAGGCACGGGCTTTGACAATTGGACTCAACCACCGCCAAGCACTGGAGCTGCCCCATCTGAATGAAATTCCATCAGATCATTTTTGCGCTCGCATGCGTTCCTCTTAGCCATACCGCGGCCACTGCTGATGCAGCTGCTGCCGCTGCTGCTCCCGCTCCTACTACTCCTAGGTGGCCTCCCCTACCAACTATGTTGGTTGACATTTTCACTACCAGAGCTTTTGCCTACCAACTATGTTGGTTGAACCTTTCACGACCAGAGTTTTTGTTGGACTGGGGGGGGGAGAGGGGATGAAAGGGGTATATTATGTACAAGCCAACCTCCACCAATCAAGTTCCCGCAAACGTAATGCCTTCCCTCAGTTGCAGTTCCCAGCAGGCCTTGCACCAGAAGCTTGGACGCTGACCCAGATGACCCTGTAAACAAGACAATGAATTTTCTCTCGGTTTTTTCGGGAGCCAAGCCAATGTGGATCCATAAGACACCCTGCGTGGAAAGCATTCGGTTGTCACCATGATTACTCCTCCTCCTGCGCACTCCTACTCTATTCCTACTCCTGCTACTGCCACTGCTGCCTCCTTGACTGTGACTTGCTACCTACTTTCGGGAGTTACCAGCCCAGTAAAGTCTGGCCAGGGCCGCGCGGGGCTGGTCTCTAGGGAGAAGCTCAGCTCTGCAGGCGTGGGTTGCATGCACTGACAAGTTTCATGATATGGCAAATGCAAGTCGCTGCTTGAACGCGCCCATCATGAAGAATGAGCCTGCAGGATGGATGAAGGAGACAGGGAACCGGTCTTCAGACAAGAGGCCAAACACAGCATGCAAAGGTTGCAACACTAAGGGCGGCGCGCATATGAGTTGACGGAGGCTTGGTGTGTTCATGCTACACAGGCTTTCTTCCAGTACTGATCATTTGTGATCGTTTGATCGTCCACCTGCGTTCAGTGCAGTTAGTGAAAGGTTTGCTGGACCAGGATGATTGCCAGCTTCGGCTTGTGCGGTATTTAACAGTTTAACCATCCATGCGTTCAGGGACAGCGATGGTCTACAGCATCCTTCCGAGGCTCTTCCTGCATCTTCCTGTTCGTTTGGTTTGATTAGGCAATTTGGGCTTTAGCTCGGGTCCCCACTCTTTTTGCCTTCGTTCTGCTGCTGCAAATGTGGGCAGCAACTACAAATTGTAGCTCTTGCTTAGCAATGCCGTTCCATGTCAGGAAAGCTAGCCTAGCAGGAGTTGCTTAGAAGCGTTAGCTTGCAACAAGGGTTGTGGGGGGGTGGGTCCCCCAGATGGTCGGTTTTTGACGGTTCTTTCCGCCAGACAGCAGGGCAGGGAGGGATTCGAGCGTGGGACCGGGGCGTCGCATTTAAAAGGACCCATAAAGAACACATAAAGAACACCGTCTCGTACCAAAAAGAACACATAAAGAACAGCTCGTTTTTGCTCAAAAGAACGGAAAAAACAGGTGTGAAAGAACACATCACCGGCAAGAAAATACATCATCGACCCATTGCATGAACCCTGGACAAGGTTCGTTGCAGCTTCCTGGCCTTCGTCCAAGCCCCCTTGTGTATGAGCATAAGTACATTTTGCATTGGAGAGTAACAGACTCTGGCAGAGCCCCAGATTACATGGTGTAGGTAATATGCAAATACTAAAGATACCTGCATTTACCTTGCAGACATCTGCATGCTATTTGAGTGCCACACAATCTGGTGTCAATCACGAGTTTGTGTCCTGTAGCCTTCCTCATTCCCAGAGGTGAACAAAAGGAGAGAGTGCGCATCTGCAATCTGCCAGTTGGATCTTGCTCTAGCTTGCGTCCCAGTCGCTTTCCCTCAAGTCTACAGGCAGACGATGCTTTGGAGAAGGCGGTTAAAGCCATTGCGAGCACTGCTCTTACGCAGGAGTCTTGCTAAGGACTGTATTGGAGCTGTACTGGTGCAAATCTTGGTCCTGAGTTCACTGCCTTCCTGCCAAGGCTGGGCAGCAGAAGAAGTGTTCCTCCAACGCGCTGAGCTCCAGGTTCCGTGACCAAGTTGACCAAACAGGTTGCGGATGCAGTGCACGGGCGAGCTTGGGTTATTTGCTTCTGCAAGGATCCGCAGCTGCATGGTGCCATTGAAGTCCGCGATGACCATTCATACAAACCTGCAGCATTCAACATCTCCTCAGTGCTAGCAGCCGTCTATTCGCACTGCAGCAGATGAACTTCCCTCAGCCTAAGAAAGTCCATCTCGAGCGTCCCATGCCCGCAGCGCCGTTTTCGGGCATGAGGCCATGCACCCAGCTTTGCTGTTAATGACACGTTTACTGTCAGAGTTCAGCCAGGAATGATGGAGCTGTTGGCTAATCATCCTGCATCTCGAATACTGAAGGAGTTAGAACTGACAAAACCTCATTGGCACAAACGCAGGACCAGACCCTTCAAGCGCCACGGGCACATGGCCAGCAACGAGGGATGTCACCATGCACAAGCAGGCCAAGACCATGCCGCTTCCTTGTAGCAAAGTTCCGAGCAGCGCGCCTGCCCTCACCAGGCAGCAAGGTTGGTGCAGACCAAGGACTGTCAGTGAGACTTTGTAGACATGGCTGGGCTTGAACAGACCAGCTTGCTCATTTGACTCAAGCTTGACATCCCGGATCCAGGGAATGCGGATGAGCTTTGTTCTGTCTTCTGCCAGGCGTTTCTACATCTTGGCTCTCACTTGCGAACGGCATCAACAGCAGCATCGGATGCAGGGACAACGCGCCTCTGCCAATTATGCAAAATCTTCATCGAGCTCATGAAATACCAGGAAAGCAGAGAAGCCTGCCCTCATAGGCTCGGCCTCCTCCGCTCCCTCGCCGAGCGCCGGCTGCGAGGCCAAGCTGCTGCCTCCAAGGCCACTGGTTTGAACTCGTGCAACGTTTCAAGATTTTCATTGATTTTGCTGAGGAAGACGCAGAAATAGGAGTAGGAATAGGCGCCCAGGATGAGGCGCCCAGGATGAGCTATACCGCCCATGTCGCCGTGACTAAACCAAGGCCGTTTCCTTGCTGGGAGCCGCGCGCAGGCGTGCAGGATCACATCCTCATTGGACTTTCACTGCACTGATACAGGATGGCATGATCAAGAAATGATGTAGGAGGACTCCTCCCTGACCTAGGTGGGAGGACGCTATGCACTTATTTTTGTCCGTGCGGCACCCCGACATTGTTACGGTGAATGCCACGATGACGCTTGCTTGCATCAGGGCTGCCACACGTCGTGGAACTCAGCCGATAACGGCCGAAGCAGCTAGCAGAAAGGATTTCTCCTGGCCCTTCTTGTTACTGTGGATGCTTCTGTTGCTAATTTTTCCTGCTCATGTGATGCGGCCACTGCTAGCCATACCTGGGCCCAAAGTCACCTATCCAGAAGAGGAGCCGTCACAAAAGCGTGAAATCGCTGCAGACAAGCACATACTCCTCATGAACATTTGAATTGATTCTAGCTTGCCTATCCGCAGGGTCAAGGTTTTGACATGGCGCATGCCGACGTGGACTCTTCCGCTCATAGCGTGGACATGGTTGAAGAAGTGCAAGAGTCGCTTCCAACTTTGCTGACGCACGGAGGTCCTCTGACTGCAGCCACCATTGGCAAGACGGAGTCTGCCCCCATTCAAGAATTCATGGTGACTGAAGTACAAAAGGAATTATTCGCGGACATTAAGCAGTCTCGCTTCTACTCCCAGCTTCACTGCGGGGCTTCGATGGCGGAAAAGGCAATGGAGTTGCGCCGCCGTCATTTTCAGCAGGTGGGTGCTCAGGTTGGCATTGACAGTGAGGGCTGGCCCACGGTTCTTCCAAAGGCCATGCGTCAGCCGGGCAGTGATAGTCTGCTTTCTTCCAAAGATTCAATGATTGAGATAGAACAGTTTCAGCGCAGCAGCGTTTTTTTCTGCGGCCTCCTCGGTGGCATGCTCCAAAATGTGTATGATGCAGGGATCTGCTGTAGTGCGCTATTTACATTTGCATCTGCTTGCTGCACTGCAGACAGAGCTGATGAAGAGCTTCTCCGATCTGCCACTTTGGATGACTTATTCTTTAATGAAGTTTTCAACAAGCATTTTGGAGCGACCCTGCTGCGTGGTCCCAATCCGCAAGAGGACACATTTGATGTAGAAGACGCAGTTGTTTGTGATCTCCAAGAATCCTTGAGCTTTGAGGTGCAGAAGGGCCAGCTGTATCACCCTTGCAGGGTCTTTCTCCGGCAGGACAAACGGTTTGGTCTTCTGGCTGAGGCAATTGTTATCAGCCCCGCGGGACCCTTGGAGCCTGAGCATCCTGAGCCCAGGGTTTTCCGAAAAGGGACTTCCGGTGCAGATGAGTGGCTCTGGGCTAAGCGCATAGCTGTCGCTGGTGCCGTGCAGCGCCACCAGTACCAGCAGCATATCGTGAACGGCCACATGGTGATGGAGACTTTTGTTGCGCTTGCCTACAGGCATCTTTCGCCAGACCACTATGTCTTCAAGTTGCTTGAGCCTGTCAGCGGGGACATCGCCTTTGTAAACCAGACCTGGGGTGGTGACCTTCTTTACGGGCATGGCGGTTCGCGTTATGACACCTGTGTGCGATGCCTCACACCACAATCCATATTCTCCAACGATGGACTTCGTGCGCAGATCATGTGGTCCAAAGAGGCTTTCGAACCAACGTCATGGTTTTGGTTTGACAGGGACGGCTACATGAATGGAGGGTGTGGAGTCAAGGAGTCCACGGTGTTTGCGTTTCGCGATGCCATTCGGTTGATATTCAATGCAACATTGAAGTGGGCTAGTTCTGTGATCGATGTGTGTTGGCAGGAAGCGGATGAAGCACTGGAGTCTTGGTGGCAGGCTCTCTGGTGGAAACAGATGGAACCCGCCAAGCGAGACCTCTCTCGAGACAATCTGGCTCACCTGATGGCAACCTGCATCGTTCAGGCGACGTTCGTGCATGATCGAGCTCATGAATCCTGGCTTCCCGACAACCATTCGCGGCTCTTGTGGGGGTTGAGTGACAGGGCTGGTGACAGCAAAGATCCAAGGGCTTACTTCCCAACGGCGGCTAGGCAGACTAGCTACCGTCTAGGGCTCATGGCGTTGAATTCCAGATACTCCAACCTTGAAAGCCCATTGCTTTCTTACCGAAAAGTCTTCCAAGAAGAGCGGCTGCAGCAAGCCTTGAAGCTCTTCGAAGACAGCCTGGCTCGCATTATTTTGGTCACGCCCTATCTGAAGTCCATAGGCAGTATGTCACACTGACTGGCCTTTCAGTTAGAGCTGGGCACTGCGTGCGCAGCTTTACCCATTTTTATACCTCCCATGATGCATTATAGAAGTAGGATGGCTCTACGTGTTTTTTAGACGATCCGCATTTTTTAAAGTTGAGTGTCACCTGATTGTAAAGGATCAGCGCAGAATCAATTTGATAACTTCCGCGCTTGGCAATGTTATAAGGGCATGTGCAGAACTCACGGGCAGCGTGGAGCGCTCAGAAACCTAGAAGCGATGTACCTGGGCGCATCAAAGAATCGTCCATGCCGAATGCTGATTATGGCCAACGCTGCGGACATTTTTGAATGTCAACCCCAAAGCTGAGAGCGGCGCGAGAAAATTACTTGACAACACCGCTGCCGCCTCCAACTTCTTAAATGCCTGGGCACACATGTCGCAAGGAGCTTATTTGGCGTTGTTTCTTCATTTGTGATCGCTCTACTGCAGGCTGTGTTGCTGAGATACTATGCTTCATCAGTTTTGTCTGAGAACCAATCCCAGGAGCGCTCTCAATCTTGGGCAGCAGTGGCTGAAGGACTTGTGACAGTCATATTTGCTCCATGGCTCCACATTTGCATCATTTGCTCATTCGCCAGAAGCTATCCATGGCAGGTGTCCGCAGTTGACCTATTTTTGCATTCGCTGAGATCTCCCGTTCGCAGGCCCTCCACCTGTTCGGGAAGCTTCATGGAGATCTTCGAGGCATCCACAAGGGTTCATGGGTGATTGGGATCCGCCGATAGGAGTTGGAAGCCATTCCCATCTCACATGGAAAGCACTCAAGCATCGGATGTGTACACCACGAGTGTTGCCTGCGGCCGAGAAGCTGTTCAGAACCAAAGCTTGCAGCAGGTGCACGGCCAAAGGCCGACGTAGTCTCGTTTCTCAGCTGCACGCGAGACTTCCTCAGGCGATCAACGCTGACATTGCAGTCGTCAACTAAGGTATAGCAGTGCAGTGACAGCGCTCTCTGCGCTTCTCATGTGGGAAGAGGCTCTTAAAAACGGAAACTTGCCTCCGGGTGCCAAGCTGGTTACATCACGTTCTTGCGAAGGCGACGCACTTGCTTGCTGGCATGATGTCTGCTGGTCCCCCCCCAGATAGACTGGCGCAGCTTATCTGCAGAAGCTTTTTGTGAAGAGTGCCTCGGGGATCAAGATTGCCCTTAGTCTTTCTTTTGTTCCTTGCAATGCCCGTGAAGACTAAGTGTTGCTTTTGTTTGCGCAGCTTCCTACCAGAATCCATATCCCCTTCTAAATCCGCGACTTAGATAATTTTAGCCGTGTCAGCAGTCATCATCGAAGTGGTCGTGGTCGTTGTGGTCGTGGTCGTGGTAGTCGCCTACATCAACATCATCATCATCATCATCATCATCATCGTCTTCATCATTCTCATCAAGGTACATCATGAGGCTCATCATGGTTGTCGTTGGTGGTGGTGCTGCTGCGGCTGGTGCTGTTGCTCCCGGTGCCGCCGCTGCTGCTGCTGCTGCTGCTGCTGCTGCTGCTGCTGCTAGCTGCAGCTGGCGGCGGCGGCGGCGGCGGTGGTGGTGGTGCTGGTGGTACGGTGCAGGGGACATGCGGCCATCATGCAAACGCATGCCAACGCAGCCATGCACGATGGTGGCAGCTGGTTCTGATCAACCTGCTGTACCTGCACTCAAATTAAATACATAGGTTCTCATCTATTTATGCTGTTCATCGTGACTTCTTGCTGCATTACCCCCATGTAACTGCTGTTATTCTCGAGTGATTGCAGACACGTTGTGAAAGCCAGAGCACAGTATGTGCTTGCACAGTCCACATGTTAGCATGGCGGCACTTTTGAGAATAAGCTTTCCGATCCGTACTGCGTGCATGGACAGTCTACAAGTTGACATGGAGGCAGTTTTGTTTCCCAGCTTTCTGAGCCACATTGAAGAGAGCAGATTGGATTTCCAGTTTACAGATCCATATTGGAACAAGCAAGCCGCAAGCAGCTTGTGCGCAACATCGAACCTGGATCAACAAAGGCGAAAGGAGGTGTGGGCTACTACATGATTGGACCTTTCCTGAATGTTGCGGCTATTCTTGCTGTTTGTGTGGGTGCTGTTGTGATTGTTGTTTTTGTCCTTGTCATTGTTGTTGTTGTTGTTGTTGTCCTGGTTGTCGTCGTGGTCGTCATTGCCGTTGTCGTTGTGGGTGTGGTGGTTGTTTTTGCTTCACTTGTTGCTGTTGTTGTTGTCGTTGTTGTTGTCGTTGTTGTCGTCGTCGTCGTCGTCGTCGTCGTCGTCGTTGTTCTTGTTCTTGTTTTTTGTTGTTGTTGTTGGTGGTGGTGGTGGCGGCGGTGGCGGAGTTGGCGGAGCTGGCGGAGCTACTGATTTTTGTTGCTGCGGCTGCCGCTGCGGCGCGGCAGCGGCTGTTGCCCCAATTTGTCCTGGCGTGAGTGCTGTCCCTATCACCGTTATCACCCAACAACCCAACAACACATCCTTGACCGGTGCTGGTGGAGAGGTACAATCTCGTGCTGGCAGCTTGTGCCGAGTCCGGCAAGGCCGATCTCATGGCTACCATCATGGCTCCTTTGACCTGCAGTTGAGGAGAGGCAGTGTAGAGTCAGCTTAAGAGCAATTGAAATAGATTTAGGAACTCAAACTCAGGGATCATCAGCCTTGAAATTTGAGCTTCACATCAGAGAACGACAGGCGAGACCATAAGGTCTTGAAATTGTAGCCAACGAGTTTAACAAGACAATACTGACCTTCAGGTGCAGGAATAACATTTGTCGGCATTTTCTTGTGTAAAGACAAAGAGGCAAAGTATAGTGTTGACTGCGAAGTCAGGCAGTTCTGCTCGTGGCCTGAGGAGCATATGGTGGCACGCCGACAGCAGCCTGATGCTTCTTGAATTGTTCAAATTCTAAACGCCGTCGTCTGCACAGTGAATGCTCCACATCCTTCTCCCGAGCAGCCCAGGTCGTCGCCCAGAACACGCTTGTCACAGCCTTTGCACGCCGACGAAGCTGGGCTGCTGCTCTTGCTGCTGCCATTACGGCACCAGAGCAGGCAGGACAAAGCGGGAGAGAAAGGAGAGCCAAGGGGCCGGAAGTTCCTGTCTGCCATGCTGAATCGGAGTTGAACATTTCATGACAGCTACAGTATTAAGCAAGTATGTGCAAACCAGTTATCTGCAAGATCTTTCTGAAGGATGTCATCACCTTTAATACGACACTTGGCAGCTCTGCTGCAGCTGGAGGACCAGGAGCATGTGTAAGAAACCGTAGAATGGCAAGGGTGCTGTGCTGTTGTCTCGTAATGTTTTCGCCCTTGCCCTTCAAAGGAAGATTTTGCTTCTTCGCGCCCCAGTTTACATGTGGACCGCGGCCCATGTATGGAAACGCATGGTAGGATTGCACAAGGGAGCAAAGTGACCAGACTTCCATGGTCTACGGTGAGGTGCTAATTTCACAGCTCCCCTACATGCAGCCTCCTTAATTATTATCTGGATGTCAAGTCGATCCCTTACACTCTCAGGTAGCCTGGAAGATTCCGATCATTGGGAGGTTGCGCTGGAACTCCTGCGCCGCATGCGCTCACAAGGAACTTGCTTCTGCATTTGGCTTGTACCTGTGCATTTGAGAGCGACAGCACATAAAAGGCTTGCAAAATCACTCGAGGCCTGCGCCCAGATGGAGTATCGCGACTCAGCTCGGCATTGCAGGCACAAGAACTAAGAGCAGACCTTGGAATCACCGAGGCTCCGTGCAGCAGCTGCCGTATGCAGGCAGCGCTGGCAGGCAGCGCTGGCGTTGATGCAAGAGGCCTTTGATCCCCGGGCTCTCTTTGACAGTACTTGCTGCGCTCCTTGATCCTGTCAAGAGGCGGCAGCAGATCTTGCAACACTGACCGCATCTTGGCTCTTACAGTTAGCTTTGTGCTTGTTTCATGCATGTACGTAGCAGCTGAGGCCGTCAGCACCAGCTGTGAGAAGGCTCAACAAGACATCTTCTGCTAAATTCCGCTTCAAGTTTCATGTTGGTCTTAGAATCTGATCTCTGCTTTCAGGAATAGGACGAGGATAGTTGGTCTTCAGATTAGACTTGGTTGTCACCAGGCCTAGATGGGTGGTTTTGCGCGCCCCTGCTCCAGGCAAGCCAGTGGGAAATTGCTTGTCGTCTTCTCGGTGAAAGTAAGAGCAAGCGCATTTTTGACTTTGCTTGGGCCTAAGCTCGGCATGGTTTCTTGGGCTACGTGGATGGTGTGCGCCTTTTAGGTGGCCCAGACCGCCCTGATTTCTGCAAATGCAGCTGGCTCTTTGTGGGAGACGGCTGTGGAGGCCGGAGAAACACTTTGCCGGTGCAGGTTGCGGCGGCAAGGGTATAGTAACAGTACAGTTGTAGAGATGACGTTGCATGGAACTTGAGACATGTAGTAGCTTCTGTTGAATCCCAGATAGCTGGTGCCACGCAGAATTGCAACATGTGCAATTTTGCACTCTGCAAGATGCTCCTGGAGCTCCGCCAGCGAGCTGATGCTGTGGTTTCCTCACCGCATTTTTGGAAACGACGACATACCATGGCAATCACGACCTCCCCCCCGGTTAAGCTATCGGAGCAGGCGAAAACGGGCTGGGTAGGACAGGAAGTGTGAACCAAGTGCTGATGGATCCACTAGAGCAGTCATGGAACAATATCATTAGCCGTGGTTCGGTGAGAGCACGGTGAGAGCGCTGAGGCATATAACGCCACAATCGCAGCTGCCGAGAAGGCATTCCAGTGAGACATGGGGGGCTGAACTTTGTAACAGCCAAAGCGGATCCCAAGATTTGGGCTCATACTGCAAAACAGGTGCCTATACAAGTTGGCCGAAATAAATTTGCTGGTCAATGATTTAGGCAACTTCTCATCTCATGTGTACTAGCCAGGTCAAACCTGCAATGTTGACTCGTGCCTTCTTGGGGCTCAATTCTCGTCATTAGCGCCCCATCAGCTCATCATCTTGTTTAGCAGTCACGGCGCCTAAAACCAATAAGATGTGGTTGAAGGCCGCCAGGTGGGTCGACTCCTTGGTGATTCTGGCAATGATGGAAGAGGCACTGGATGATTGTCATCGAGCTGAACAGGTAAGATTATACCTTGTGACAGACCGCGGCGTAAGCGAGCACACCTTGAAGGCGTTGCTGCAGCCATCGACAACCACTTTCAATGAATCTTGGCGTTTACTGCGTTTTGTTTGTTCTGGAAGGCTTGTGCAAGTGAGCAGGACTGAGTGAAAAACGCTTCGGTACCGACAGCAAGTCCAAGTTTCGGTGGTGCAGTCGCCAATCGCCAGAAACACGCTAGCTGATGATGTAGTGCCTCTGAGGCCAACATCAGTGCCTGTGAAAAGTCGGCTGTTTGGCAGGCCAGATTGTTACAAAGCTTGCAGAGGGATGATGATGATGATGATGATGATGATGATGTTGTTCATGGTGTGCGCAACCTAGCACGGGTTTTCACCCACCCCTAAGAAGAAACCATACAGGAAGAAGTCGACCACCAGAAGGAAGTCACCAATTCGGGCACCGAAGTGAAGGGCATCCGCCTATCGAGGACTCGCCAGAGCAAAGTCACCAAGCCGCCAGCCGAGAAGGGCAAGCCAAGGCCCCAGCAACCTTACCCAACAAGAGCGCACAGGCGGACCTGTACATAACCATCTCAATGCCAGTGAAGCCCACCAAGAGTAGCCAGGCAGCCACCTGAGACGTGCAGAAGCAGGAAATCCGGGATGAGGACAGCCATGAGGAAGATCACCTATAAGACCGCAACGATCCACCATCTGTACAAGTGGCCATGCCTCAACCATAGAAGACCACCAGGAGGTAGCCAACTGAACCTGCAGGAGCAAAAAGTCAAACCCGAAATCAGCCGTCAGGGACAAGACGAGTTGCCGCCGCTGAACCATCCACACACTGTCACAAGTACGTAAACCTTCTCCAAAAACGTGAACGCCCAGAGAAGGCGAAAGCCACTAGCAGGCCAAACCAGGTAAGAAACCACATGCTCACCATGCAAACTGCAAACCCTGCAGGAGATGCTTGTCACCACTTCGCAGGGCACCGCTCTGTACACAGAATTAACATAGAGCTCAAGGTGGGTGAAAACCCGTGCTAGGTTGCGCACACCCTCAACAACATAATCATCATCATCATCATCATCATCATCATCAATTAACATCCAGCTCATGCCATTATACCTCAGGCTCACCACAGTACACGTGCAACATGCCATCTCAGCTCCAGAAGGGGCACTATCACCACGCAGGTGTGCTACACGAAGCTTCCAGGCATCGTAAGTCACCACCCGTGCCGAAGAGGAACAGGTGGTGTGCCCCCCGGCCCACGTGCCGGTGATGCCAATCATGAAGTCCCAGGGCTCCATGCCGGGGGGGAATTCATGAAAGGGCGCATGCTTGACCCCTCCGATACATACCCCGACACATACCTTAATACATACCTCCATACATGCCTCGATACATACCCCCACAACGTCCCTTTCGTCAAGAGCCCAGCACTACGAAACATACCCCGAAACATACCCCCGAAACATACTTGAATCCAAACATGTATTTTTGACCGCGGTTTAGCCATGCAAAGGCTGTTACTTGCTGGTCTGAATCAAACTCCATGCAAGCAGTGGGAAGTATTAGTGCAACCTGCCAAGCGCTTTTGCAAAGGGACTGCGTCAGGCTTCCCTGCAGCTTTGCGAAGACATGTTCCTCCGCAAGTTGGCAAAGGACCGCAGTGCCGTAAGCCCAGCATGAGTCGGCTTGTTCAACCCGATAGGACATTGTCACCTTCAGCGCGCTGATTTCAAGCTGCTGGCCATGATGCATCAGTACCGAATGTAGTTTCTGAATGAGGCCCCAGGATCTGTCACAGGGATACCAAACTTTTCGTGCTTCAAAGCTCAGATTCAGCACCCAGGTTGCGAAAAGGGCACGCAGTGGACGCTGGCCTTGCATTTCTTCGGTCTGTGCCGAACAGCGGGCCTTCTGCGGCAGAGAGAAGAAAAGGGAGCCTTGAAGCATGCATTTTGCACAGATTTGGGGTATTCAATTAAATTACAGCAGCGATCAGCAGCGACACCAGATCACACATGGAGTGCAAGCTACGTCTGTAGCAGACCTAAGACTAGGCATATTCCAAGAGGGCTGTTCTCTAAATGTGAAGCTTTGCATTCGCAAAGATTGCAGGAGTTCTGTTGGATTTGCTATTGCTAGTGGATGGAGAGAAGGGGTGCCACCCATGTTCTCCGAATCAGTCAGTCCAATTGCCAGTCTTGCTTGAACCGCAGCTATCATCTTTTGCAGCTGGCTATCATTCTCCGTATCATGATATCCAGCATTGTTGCATTATTTTTGCTCTTAATTCTTTATCGCTGTTTTTGTTTTGTGGTCGTGCGTGCCGCCCGCTAACTTCGTTCCCTGTGTGTACCGTCGTTGCATGCACTCTTTCGAGGGCACCAGGGCCATGGTGAGCACGTTTAGGGTGACAAGGAGAAGGTCTGTTGCTGGGAAGCTGGACAGTGCCACTGGGATCCGCCTAACAATCTCAGGATGGAATTTTGATCCCTGAGAAAAACTCGAGACAGATGGTGGTAGGCTGCACAGGTCGGGACCGACTGAATTCGGTTGGCAGACTGGAGAGGGGCATGGGACATGAGAAGAACTGTTGAGAGTCTCAGGCTTGAGAGTTCATGGCAAAATCGCTTGTTACTCTGAATGGCATTCAGGTTGCAATAGGTTGCTGGCTGTAGGCAAACGCTTGCGCTGAAAAGTCGGCCTTTTGGTGTTTGGATCCAAAGCATCCCCCCTCGTAGCACGCCCTCCTGGAAGCGCCATGCGATGGCCAGAGGCGCTGGGGGTTGCAGTGGGAGTTGTGTCGTTGCTTTGCCATGCTTCGAGGTGCTGGCCTTGGCCTTGGTGCTCTGCTGTGCCTCAGGCAATCAGGCCAGGACATGTTTTCTCTTCATGCTTCCAGTCTTCTTGTCGCTGCGCATTCTCACCTGAAAGGAGGATGAAGTCACGAAGCAGCTATCACCAGATGACGATCCTTGCCAAATATGGGTGAGCTGATTAACGTCGTTCATTGCTTAAATCCCGAGTTTGCATGTCACTCTCAGCGACTACACCATGCGATTGCCTACAAGCCTATAGGTGCTTACTGGAAGGCCCTCCGACCCAAAAACCGCAAATGTACATCACGGTGAGCGGTAGGCCAACAGTGCGCGTCTCGATCTGTAGCAATCAGCCGCGGCCACCGGCACCGGCGCCAGTACCACGCCCATGTGGAGCTCAGGAGTGCGACTCAGACGAATCAGGGACCTGCGCTTTGCAGGCTGGTGGTGTGCACAGCGTCCTTGAAGTCACATGGCATACAGTTGCATCATGTCGCCAGTCTTAGAGTGCAATCCCGGCCGCTTTCCGTGGTTCAGGCCCTCCAGCGTCAAGCTGCACGAGCACCACGACCTTTAGAGCTCATCCCCACCCCGAGTGTTCGCGGGGAGGCAGCGTACTTTTCGAGCCGCACAGCTGTCTCAGTCTGCTGTCCTTTGTAGAATTATCCCAGCCACCAGTTTGCGCACATCATCATGAGGTCGGGAGTCAAAGTCCTTTGAGTGGACGAGGCTGGAAGTGTCCCATACCATCATCGAGAATGCCTTGAAGGCTCCCTTTCACAACGGATGGCCAACTCCGTTTGGTCTCTCCGCTAGCGATGTGGCGCGGTGGCTACAGGATGAGCTGCTCCCCACAAGCCCATTTGGGCAATACGGCATGCTTGTGCCATGGCCCGAAGAGGACAATGACCAGTTGGGTCATGGTGGTTGGGTCGGATACTCACGCAGGCAAGTCTGCTATCTGACCGCCAAGAGCCTCCTTGGATAAAATGCAGTTTTGCCGGGTTTCAAGATGTTTCTGTAGTCACTCTAGGACCACGATTATGACAGTTGGAACTTGCTTCTTAGGGTTAGATAAATCGACAGAACTCAGGAGCTACCTGGGAGCAAAGGCTCACGGATACAACGCAGGCCTGTTCCGCCTGATGGCCATGTGTCCAAGGACGGGCGACTTCAGGCAGTCTTTTGCAACGCTCTTGGCCGCTTGCACCTTGGACCACCCAGACTCTGACTCGTCTCTAACACAAAAAATCCCAAGTCTGCAGAGAAGTTCATGGCACACTTGCTAACAGTTTCGCATCCCCAGAGAAAATCAGGTGCTGCAGATCCGACGTTGGCGAACGGCCACCAGGGGCCACTGCTTCTAACAGCCAAAGCCAGGGCAGCCCCCTCGGTGGAGGAGGCCGTGGCACCATCCGCTTGACCATTTAGGAATGTTAGAGATGTGGAGGAGAGCATCCTCCTTTGAATCAGGTGCGCCAGAAGGCGGAGGATGTGTCTATGCAGTCTGCCCAGCTCCGCGTTTGCGACTACGACGCTGGGGTGCCTTGGCTCCAAGCAAGGTAGACACCGGAAAATTGTGACATTGCCGTCAGAGCTGATCGAAGTTCAGGCCGGCCATTTTGATGGCGTTGAGCCAGTGCCTGGGCAGGGCTGTGTCCCCCGCACTCCGAATGCTCCGGGTGTAGACTTCATGACCGGCGGCTTGCCCGGCCAGGCAACCCAGGACCCATCACCGTCACTCGATGTCACTTGATGTAGCGTTGTCTTATACTTATGATTTTTCTGTTTTCAGGACATCTCTGCATCCTGGTTTGGTGGCTACCTATTCGATGCACATGCCTGTGGCCTTGGTGGTGGACAGGACGAGCGCTTGTCGGTCTACTTTCCCGAAGTCACCGTGTTGGCATATTTTCTTTCTCAGAGCCACCCCTTCCCACAGCTCCGCCAACCCGCATGGTTCCTGGGAGCACGGAACTTTTTCAAGAACTTGGATGGCACAGCTCGGTTCGACTCACCACTGGTGCTCGCAGACGTTCCCTTGAAATCAGACCTTGTCGATGTCCAAGTGGCGGATCATCTCTTTGAGATCAGCTCCTCAAGACCGTTCGTTGTCTTCATGAGCGAAAGTCAAGGCTTTTTCAGAGACACAGACCAGAACCTCAAGCTGGCCCGCATGAATCGATTGCAAGCGCAAAGGGAGATGGGCACCGGCAGGTTCGCCTTTGAGAAGCAGGCGCATCTTGTTCATCCGGGAATCTTAAATAGATTTGTGAGAGCTTCCCGTAGCTGCAGACTTCCCACATTCTTCCATGCCCTTTCCGCGCCCCTGCATCAAACGGTTCAGGTACGCGCATGGTATCGGTCCTTGGCGCTGACTTCGTACGACGTGGCTTGTTTTCGATCCATGCACAGCGGGGTACGTCATGCCACACATGTGGACAGGATTTGTTGGTTGCCTGAGGAACGCATCCATGGGGCCCTCAGAGCTCTGGTGAAGTCCATCGGAGCCGGGCCGTGGTTGGCAGGGCTTTGGTGGGGCGACTCACAGCGCCTTGAAGAAATTTTGCGTTGCTTCACAAGCCTCCGCACATGTTCGCACATGAAACCGGAATGCGAGGCTTGGATTCTTGGCCATTTGGCTTGGCCAAGCGCTGGCGGCAACTACATGGGGATCTTGGGGAGGCCGGTTTAGGCAGTAGCCAGATTCTTAGGTTCTGAATGTCGGTTTTTTTGTTTCAACTGGAAGACACAGCGAAGTTCACTTCACGGACCTGTGTCTTGAGTTAGCAAGCTTGGTAGGAAGAGAGTGAACCCTGTTTCAACGCAAGCCAATAGCCATCAATGTCCATGGGTCCGGGCAGCTACATGTGTTTGGCTTCGTGTTGCCAAGCGGGCAGGCCGCCCCCTGGCCCTGGACTACTACATTTACGCAGATTTCACGGAAAATCCTGGAAACCAGTGTTACGTGATTCCTGGCGAGGCCTGGTGCACTTGGGCATGTGAATGTGTTGTCATGCCAAGATCAAACACATGTGTGACAAGGCTTGCCGGGCATGCCTGGATGCTCCTCACAAGCAAGGGTGTCCGTATCCACAGGCTGAATGATGATCAGTCGTGTTGAACGATAGGCTGGAAAGGAGTACGTCAATGTAGCCGGGTCGAGCAAGGAAACCAAAATCAAAGCGCACGTGATTTGCTGATGGACCCTGTAATACCGAGGTTTGTCAAAATCCTGACCCGCCTTCCAGCGCGTACTGGACTCTGGGCTGCGTTTTCGCCTGGTTCTCTCATGTGTTTGCTATAAAATCTCTAGACCCAAACATAATCCCTATATAATCCCTTGGGTCAGAGCAAAGAGCCCAGAGAGCCCAGGATGCCAAGAAACGCGTACTTTGATGGGCGGCCCTGTGTGTCGAATGCTGCCATTTGCGGCGAGAAAGGCTTCGCGGATGCCGTCAAGGCATTTGGGCATCAGACAGCAGCTGGGACCTTTGCAGGATCCTTTTGAATTGTTGGGTTCGGTTAAAACTCCCAGGCAACTTAGCACGCCCAGCAATCCAAACTGCCTACGCCTTGTCGCAACGCCTAGAATTGGAAATGCACAGCCAAGCAACTCAGCAGTTCGCATTCTCACTGATTGTGGGAGAGTCTAAACGCCTTAAGTATTGAGGTTGCACGTACATGGAGATACATCGAGGAGAAGGTGGCTTGGGGAGATCTGAGGCGAAACGTCTTTGACATCCTCTTAGCATAAACCACCCCACAAACGCTGTCTCTTTGAATGCTTGCCAGCATGATCGGTGCGTATTTTCGCAGATGCTCAGCTCGCGAGCGGTAATTTGTCAAACTAAAGGGGCCACCTCTGGCGATACGTGCCGGGCCCCTTTCAATGGTTTCACACTTGAAACGTGCTGAGCGTTTTGGGACGCAGCACTTAGGTCCACATTTCGCATAGCTCTTGCTTGGCTGCGAGTTGAAAAAGCGAAAGTTGACATTCACATCCCATCAAATGCCTGTGCTGCGACTCCGAGGCACCTGCCAATGATCCACAGCACCGTCACATGCCAACATCGTAGAACTCTCTCCATGCATTAGATGACAGGCTGGTAAGGCAGTTCCCCTTCCCATCCGTCATCGACTTCCAGGCTCTGCCAACGCCCGTGGAATAAGGGTGTAGCGGTGCAACACAAGCTGCATGCGCATCTATGCAATGTTTTTGCATGCTGGATTGTTTCCAAGACTCCAACTGGCTTTTCCTTTCACCTGTTTTCGCAGGCACAGACGCGTCTGTTCGAAAAACGGCGACGAATCGTGCTGGGCACCAAGAAGCCAATAGAAGCCAAGACGTTGAGGCATGACTGCCTGTACCTCACTGGACTGCATGGTACAGGTCCTGCGAGTGCTCAGCAAGCCAGGAGCCCAAGATGAGACAAGACACAGCTTGCACAGAGCTCTTGTGGCACACTTCTTTTACCATCTTGATCTTCGTAGCGTTTTTTTTCAAGACCATCTGCCACCTCAGAGCTGCAAGATTTTCAGTTGAAATGTCCAGACGGGAGGTGGGGCCAGATTTGCCACGGATGAACTCGTCTTGTCAATGCTGCTCTTTGCCAAAGACGCATCTTGCTGTCTTGCCTAAGGACCGTGCTCGGCCTGGCTTGGACCATGAACTGGAGCACTTTGGAAATGCAGGCTGGCCGCCTGGTGTGAGCTGACGAGCCAAAATGTCAGAAGATAATGATGTGCTCAACTTCGCTAGCCAGGTGCACGTTGCGAATGCAGACATCTTCAGCAAATACTGCGAAGGGCTGTTACAGCCATATTACTCCACTCAAGGCTTCTAAGGAAAGCCTCAAGTGATGGCATTTCTCGTAGGAGTGAATCCATATGTCTTGCGACAGAATGTGTCAGCCAGTTTCATGTTGGTGCGACTTGGGATTTTGAAAGGGTCTTCAGAAGCTAGCTGAAGTGCAAAGCGAGTTAATTGAGCAGGTTGTTAGGGCACCAGCTTGTCTCCAAGAAAAGCAGAGGTGTGCTGCCTCTCACCTGTGTCTTTGGCTTGCCCAAACTGATACTTGTATAATGGTCCCTATCAGGCCAAGCCTTTGGTGTAGGTGCTTTCCTGGATTCATAGCTCAGCTTGATCGCGCAAAGTTGGGCAAGTTAGGGGTAGACACGAAAGTGCGGTGCGGCTTTTGGCAAGTGCCAATTGGTAAGGGAGGAGCTCAGGATGCCAGGGTTCAGGATGCATGCCTGAAAAGCAGGCTTGAAAAAGATGCTAAGCTTAGTGCCTTTTGGAGCTCCTCCCTGCGAAATCAGACTAATACTGTGCTCAACGTGGCACAATCACAACATGTTTTGCGCTGCGGGGGCAGTCAACTTCAGCTGAGCCTGCTGAGGGTTGACTCATGCAGATCTGGTCCATTGTCGACATGTTCCGGCTGCCCCTGCCCTGACTCTGCCAACTTTTAGAAGCGGAGACGCCTAAATACTAAAGGCTTAAGGCCTACGCTGGTGCAGACAAGCCGCCAGGCATAGAACATGAGACCTATGCTTTGTCCCGTGCTACACAAGAAAACGCACGCAGCACAAAAGCTGCAAAGACCATACAGAGGGCTTGAATGTCTGGAGGCATACCTGGCCTGGAGTGTTCCTGACCAGCCCGAGCTCACGTCTCAGTTTATGGGATAAAGAAATTGGTAGGCGGTGGAGCTGGCATATATTGGGGTTATGTAGGTATAATGGAAAAGAAGATGGAAACTACTCTAGTATATTGGGGGGCTATATAGGGATTATATAGGGATTATGTAGGGGCTGTATAGGGATTATAGGGAATATATTGGGGCTATATAATAGGGATAATGGAAAATTGAGGTGGATTCGCCGGGAGGATGCTGCCTTTCAGGCCCCGGATTTCCTTTTTCGTACTTCTTGGAATATGGGGGTTTCCTAAAATCAGAGGTACCATTATGGGGTCCCAATAATAAGGATTATAGTATTTTGGGGTCTATATTGAAACTCCCATATGTGCTCCTCCGCGTTCCGCGTTCGCCTGCCAGGAGCTGACCAGGTACAATGACAGATTGAAAGATCAGCTTCGAGACCAGAAGGAGGCGAAGAAATTGTAGAACTCGGTGCCTTGAAGGAGGGGCAGAAGGTGACACATTTAGAGCACCCTGCTCTGCTAACTGCATTCTTCAGAAAAAAGCGCAGCTAGAGATGCCAACTCATCTGGCCTGCAGAGTAGAGGCAAGCTAAAGACGGTAGAATGGTACAAGCTTCAACGTTTCACGCCCAACCATTTTGCAAGTGGGCATCACAGTGATGCTCTGTCGAATTTTGCAAGGGACTTGGTTTCGCTGGGTCAGAGGCTCATGTCAAGCATTGATGAAAACTCCTTAGCCTGTGGGATGTCGTGACATTCAGAGGTGATCAGACTCTAGGTTGACCTCTGCTTTGCCAACGAGTTCCCGGCCATTGAAGTCGTGCTTGGCGCATCGATGGAATGTGCTCCATTGTACAGGCTGGCGTGCCAACGCCTAAGGTGTTCATCCATCACTCCAGCGCAGTCGTTAAAACATGTTAAAACAGAGTGCTGGATTCAACGCACATCGGCATGCGTGAGGGGTCTTGGCTGGCGAAAAAGGTAGACATGCTGCAGACACGGAATTCCGTACCATTCTCCTCAAAGCGTTGGGCCAAAGGTTGCCATATTGGCATGCTACGGCCATGGCGGAGGAATCTGGCGAGGAGGAGTCCGAAGACGACTCTGTAACGATCACCGCCGGGCCACCCAGACATGATCCCATGACAACGCCATTGAGCCGTAGACTGTCTTTTCAGGTGCGATCTCTGGGCGGCGCCGTCACCTGCTTCCGCGTGCCGCGCGCCACCACCGTGCGGGTGCGGGGTGATTGTGGCATATTGTTTTCGTTGTCAAGTCTGTGAAGGCTGATGGCAACCATGCCGTAAGCGTCAAGCTGCTGTTTCAGTTTTGCCCCCGAGACTGGTTGGAACCGAAGGCACAGTCGCTGTCCAAATTTGATCTACAAGTCATCGCGATTTTCAAGACCATCTGTGTTATCCGCTTACGCTCACAAAGCAAGAGCCAAAGTCAAAGACCCAAGTTGCTAACAATTGACAAGAAATAACACGCCTCGAGGCGCTGAAGATCAGGCTGGCGAGGAGCTGCTCATCTCCACCCTACGCGCAGCGACTGCTGCAAGGCTTGTAAACTGAATAGCTCGGCAATGTCTGCACTAGGAGCGATACTCTTGGGCGGTAGTAGCAGTGCTAGACGCCGCAGTGGCAACCGTTGTAACATAGTTGTAAGATGTTGTAAGTGTGCTCCTAATCATAGGAGCAGTACATCGGCAATGGTGGTGATCAGCAAGGTGGTAGCAGTGATGCTCGTAGTGATCGCAGTGCCTCCTTCTCTTCGCACGAGCAGGACTAGTAGGAAGAGGAGGGCGAGCTTTGGATCGTCATGGTAGTATTCCTGGTACAAGTCAGGGTGGCAGGAGAGCGTCCAGCAGCAGAAAATTCAAACTAACGATTGTGACCAACAAACTCAAATGATCACCATGATGGGACAGGCAAGAATAGGCAGGGTTGCCGTCGAGAACAAGGAAGATGGCTACAGCAAAGAATCAAAAGCATCTTCTCGGGACCTGAATGTCATGTTTTGTGCCGTGCTGCTCTACAATGCATAGCTTTACATAAGAGCGAAGCATCAGCTCATCGACGGCCTGGCATATCCTGCACAGCTATTCTGAAGTCAGTTGTCTGCTACCCCCCAGCCCCCGAAGTGTGTAAGTGCAACAGTGGCCAGGAGAGCGGATACTAGAGGACGAGGCGTCCGTAGATTCTTTGCAGATCACTTCCGCGCTGGAACTACTGCTGCATGGCTAAATGCAAAATCCAGTTGCAAAGTGTCGGAATGGTAGCCACAAATTGCAAAGACACATGACAGCGATCATGTCAACTGTCCAGCGAGCTTCTTGCTGTCAGAGGGCCCCTCTTTAGATTGGCTGCCGAACATACAGTATTTTGGATGACCTCACTTTTAGCATGAAGATTGCGTTCTCCATGCCCGAAAGCTGATTCTGAGGTCACACTTCAGATAAACCGACCCAGCTGTTCTTCAGCAATTGCCTCCTGAGGCTGGTTTGCACGCCTTGCGAACTTGAAGCTGGAACGCACCTGATCGACAGCGCAAGGCGCTGAAGGGTTCCTTCCAAGCTTGATTTTCCACAACAATCTACTTCTCAATTGACCTGTGCTTGGGCCAGGTCCGGGAATCTGCCATCTCTGCGTCAAGCCTTGCGTCGTCCAGCGCCCCCAGAGCCTCGCATGAGATTTTCAAGATCCTTCTGGAAGGCTTTGCCTGACCAGATGCCTTGTAGCTGACGGGCTCTTGCTCACCAAAGGGAACCTGCACTTTCCCATGTTCGATGCAACAGCTTGTCAAGATGTCTCACTAGCTGTTGTCTGAATATGCCCTGATACATGCAGCTCTGCTGCCCCCAGGGTATGCGTGCATTCTTTTGTGCTTCGTGCTATATCCAGCCTTTCAGGATTTCTCCAGGCCCTCGGATGGCCTCACGGCTCTGCTGGCAGCTTCGCCAAGTCCTCAGAAAGTAGAGATGCTATGCTGCCAGCATGGAGCAACATCCGCACAGATCTAGAGCATCCATGACCGCTGCACCTTATTTACTGCAACTGTTGCCAACTTACCACCCACTGTACCTGCTGGACATCAGCCAACTCCAGTCACATAGGCGTGGTCAAAGCCTAAGATGTTCAGCAGCACACTAAACTTCAATATCTTGGTGGCGATCCGGGATTCGGGACATGAGGTTCCATGGCCACCTGGACATGGTCGTGGAACTGCTCGCGGCCGGAGCTTCGAAGGCAACATGATGTCGCCTGTAGATGCTGAGATCGAGTGTATCTCGAGGGAGACATAAATTATTTGTAGTGTTTCGTTGTTTCACGAAAGGAGAAGGCGATGAAGAACGGAGCGACGCCGCTGCATTTGGCTTCGCAAAGCGGCCATTTACCAGTTGTCAGGCTCCGCTCTGCTTGCTCTGCTGGATTCCCGTGGAGATGCTGCGCATTGCTGCGCTGCCAGGTGCCTGTTGGCTGCGCGAGCAGAGCCCAACGCAGAGGCCGAGGACAGATTTCCTCAGCGGAAAGTGGCAAAGTCTCGCAGATCTACGGTGTAGCGGTCTTCAGACTGCAGAAAGTATGCAAAGGACGGACGGCGGCCGCTTCACATTGCCTGCCAGAAGAATCATTTAGAGGCACTTTGCAAGATTCCTTGCCCACCTCAACATGAGAAGAGTTGTGCAGGTTATCCGGACCCTTTGCGATCTCCATGCTGATCCAGACGTGTTCAGGTTGCAAAAATGTTTACCATCCATGACTTTGTGGTTGTCGACTGTGGCCGTGAATTAGATGCTCTTGGCAGCCGTAGCAAGATATTCCAACACGAAGGAACTTGAGGTGTGTGTGTGTGTGGGCTTGTTTTGAGTGACCGTGCTCGTGAACACGTGGGCAATGTGTGATGCTTTTCAGCATCTAAGGCTCCTGGTCCCCACGCGATGTCTCCAGCCTTCCCCGCCTGCCAGCGAGGCCTGACGGGCAGGGCCGTGTGGACAGAGTGGATATGCAGCGATAAGCTATATCAATTGGTGACGTGCCGTAGCAAACTTGAATTTGGTGCGGGCAGGCTATCTCGAAGCATTGAAGGCTCTGTGTGAAGCCCGCGCCAACCCAGAGGCCTGCGTAAGTCGAAGATACTGCAAAGAAGCTCTTGTGTAGCAAGGAACGCTTGCATAGCATGGAAGAGCCATTGGTATTGACAAGCGTGACAGGCCGTGGACAAGAGCGGCACCAGGCTTCCACCTTTTTTCTTTAGCTTTCTGCTTTTTTACATTTCTGTGTATCCTGCGAGCTGCCTCAGGTTGTTGGATATTGCAATCCAGGAGGGGCATTTATCGTTGGTGCAGACGCTCTACATGGCCGGAGCCAGCCCCATTGGTTGCAGTTGGGCACCAGGATTGTAAGGTTCATAAGTTGGAGGATGCCATGGCGATGGATTTCTAGCGATGATGTGCAACGGGGCATGGGCACACCAACAACAGCATCTGGTAGATTGTACTTCAAATGCCCTCGTGGCTGCTGCTTGCGAAGGCATTGCAACTCCAAATCGCAGTGGCAGGCCGGTTTGCATGGTTTGTACCGAAAGTATCTTGAGCCTGGAGTCACGGCTTCTTCAGGGCCACAGCAACGTCAGCCCTGCAATAACAGGCTAATGGAGCTCTCATGCTAATTATACTAAGTCGTAGCCTGTGCCGCAGAACGCCCCTCCATGTAGCCGCCTACTCTGGCGATCTGCTCATCGTGCTTTGGCTTGCTGGAGAAGGCTGGGACGGGAAAAGTGGAGACCTGCGTGAGTAAGTCTGCAAGGCATCAACTTTCAACCTTCACGTCAGGAGTGCCGATTGACACCCGAGATCACCAAAGACTTACACCCCTGCATTTGGCAGCGCGCTTCGGATATGAGGCCCCAGACGAACGGGAAGCCCGAGCATGCATTAGCGACTGCCTCCAAACATCTTCCGAGTTTGTCAAGCTTGTGCACCACTTTTTGCTCTTTCAATGTCTGTGCTGCATTGCGTGCTGACACTGAGAGAATAGTTCCCATCAGCAGCAAAAGGCTATCGCGCGAAAGCTGTTCGAGCTCCAGGCCGACCTCGAAGCAACCAGCAGCCGCTCGGAGAGCAAGTTCACCGTAAAGACCTTGAGCCAACAGCTGGAACTGAGCCAAAAGGCACGTCTAACCCCAAGATACCCCGCATTGCATGGAATGGCCCAGACCATCAGTGCTTGTTGAATTGCGAGCATCCGGTAACGTCCCATGCTTGTCAGAGAAGGCTTGTTACGTCATCTGAGTGTTGGACTAGATCTATGGAAGAGGCAGCATGTCTAGGCTAGAGGCCAACCCTCCGCCGATACCCCGATAGGGGCCAACCTGTTTTCCCATGGTCTGCGCGCTATGCAAGAGAGTTAGTCAGGCACTCATCTGAAATTTTTCTGGCCGATGCGCATCAAGGTTGTCATTTTGTAGAGGGGCGTGTGGCATACTCGTAGACTCGTACGCGGTCTGGAATGGCTCTGGCCGCACTGAAGCCCAGGTGCGGGCAGCCGGCCCCTGCACATGGCCGCTCTTTTCGACCAGGAGGCATGTGTGCCAGCATATCCGCGCAAGACGTCGACATCTGTTGCTAATTCTTTTTCCAAACAGTGAGTTTGCATGCTCCGAGATCCTGACAATGTCAGCCAACAGGAAGTCACAAGATTCCTGTGCGAGCACAAAGTTGACCTGCAGCTTCTTCAGCAAGCAGCTGTTCTTGTTGAATGGAATGCCCGGGCACTTTGCACTAAGCCACCAGTGGATGCCAGCGGCATACCCATTTAGGAGGGCTGGAAGTAACAAGAATTGGCTCACCCAGCCCAAACTTGTAACCAGAACCGGCCCGTTCCTCTAACAGGCCAGCCGGCCTGGCTTTAACGGGAACCGTCGGGGGGAATTAGGCAGACTGGACCTCCAAGAATGCTTCCACACAGCTTCGAGCGCTTCCGCTGAAAGCCTTTCAGAGGGGGACCGACTTTCGTTGCGCCAGTGCGCATCCGGTCAGAACTCTTACAGATCAGGGGGGACGTAAGGGGGAAGGATTCTCGTCCCCCACTCTCAGAGGTTCCAGTGCCGTGTCTGCTGTCCTGCTTTCACCTTTCCCCCGCAGTGGGTCACGCCTCCGGCCTGGTTGCCGTTACTGTCCCAGACGGTTCCTGTTACTGCTAGTTAAAAGCAGTTCCCCTTACTCCGTCCCCAAATAGTTCCCGTTACTCCCAGCACCCGTGTGCCCATCATAAATCCTTCGAAATCGTAGCTCCACCAAGGAACATCCTGGCATATCCGGGGCTCTCGCCATTGCATCTGGCAGCAGCTCGCGGGAATCTTGCCTCCAGGCTGCACTGAATCGGCTTCCTGCTGCTTCGCGGAGCATGGCATCTCATTTCGCACCTGTCAAGGATGTGGTGAAAGTTTTGTGCGACTTCGGCGCTAATCTCGCCAGAAGGGACATCTTCGGTGCCATGCCGGCGGGGTGACAGTTGCAAAGCACGCCCATGAAAGGAGCAGGTTTGCAGCATCTTGCCAGAACCATTCTGAAAATAAAACCCTTGAACCTCTCGTGGAGTCAGAGATGTTGCAGGTCAGCACGGCAGTCCGCTACGGTCGGGATGCGATTGTGCGGCCTTGTCTGCACGGATATCTAGCATGCGCTGTCGAGCAACACGCGTGTAAGTTTGATAAGTGGAACCGCCATGCGGCCTGAAAGCACGTAGATCTCTGAGTTGTCATGCCCGATAGCTGGCCAATCTACTGAGACTGCTGCACATTACCCCTCCAGACGTGACAGCAGATCCCCTAGCAGACTCAACCGCCCGAGGCAGTGCATGCTGGACGCAGCGAGCTGCCAATGCTCTGAGTCTACGCCAGGCAGGGTAATGTGTTGGAGCATGGAAGCCGCAGAAGTCTTTGAGGACGTGGAGCCCACAAAGGACTTGCAAACGATCTGCTTTCCCAAAATCTGGAAAATCTTTTTTGCCCATACTCGTGGACGACCCCAAAGGCCTACTAACTGCGTATCGCGACTGTCCATGTCTGCCAGGCCATGTGGATTCTGCCCCCTCCTTCGTTGTAGAGTGATGCTGAATTACCGTAGCCCCGCAGTGTATGCAGTCCAGCTGACAATTGCAAATGTCACGAAATCTTGTTTCGTGTAACGCGAAAGCTTGTCGGAATCAGCGCTGAGCCGCGGGGCTAGAGTTTGCCAGCCAGTTTTGCCATCGGCCTGGGATCCATGGTTTTACCCGAAGCTCCTGAAACATAACATTATGATATATAAGTATGTGTGTGCTTCACGCGATCCTGGGACGAAATGCTGGCGTCCTCGTACAGGAGTCATGGACTAGGGCTGCCGGGCAGATTAGTGACCTAGCAAAGTATGGTTCAGCTATTACTACCATTGCTAATCCTCTCATGGAACGTTGAAACTTTAGGCACAGCCAATGCTCCAGGATGACATATTGGCAGAATGGGTTCACGAACGAAATTCACAACTTGACGCACCCGTTTCCGGCAGTCATGATTCCATGCGTCCATCACCTTTGCCACGAAGAGGTCATGTAGATATCCGCAAGTGCTGACTTCTAGGTCTTTGTCTGGAGCCAAGACCGAGGGAGCGTGGAAGAGGGACATCTTGAAGGATGGACCATTGGTGAATGCAGGCATTAAAGACCTAGAGACTGGGCAAGTCAGCCACCGACCAGTCCCACCAAGGCCATGCCCATGCCCATGCCTTCTAAACTACCTCAAGATTTTAGCAAGCTAAAAGAGATTCCAAGTTCTGGCAGGTGTTTGGGATGGTGTGGTCGCAAGTGTACATATGTGTACCTAAAGAAAGGAAGCGCAGCCGGAGGCAGAATCACAGTGCTGATGGTTATGGATTGCTGCTTGATATGTCCCAATCTGTGACATTGCTTCAGGGCTAGCTATGCACCAACAACTTCTCGTAGTATGGGCTCTTGTACGGAAAGCGCTTTCTGCATGTCAGAAGGATTCTGGAATTTGACGTGAGACCATGTGTTCATAGCAGATTGTCGTCGGGCCCTTCGCCTGGTTGGCACGCGAAAAAGAAACCACCAGTGCACTTTCCCAAGTATATGTTTTTGCGCTGCATGCTTGTTTTCTGGACAACTTGCCCTCTCGGTCAAAGGATGTTTACACGAAAGCAGGCAAAGAGTCTGCGCCCTATTATTCTTCATGAACATCAATCATTCTAGCAAGCCTGCCATTGCTCCTTGCTGTTTATTACACAGACAGGCAATCTACCAACGAATTATAAGATCGTGAAATAGCCTGCAGCGGATGCCTTACGTTTGAAATTTTCTCTCCAGGGTGACGCAGAACTTGAAATCCCATGCTATTCCGACGTAGTCCGGCATGATTTCACCTTCAGCAGGAATTCCGAGTCCACGAGGTGACGAGCTCGTAAAGCGTGCAGCAGTTCTGAAAGTTGGCATTAACCTGGCAAGGAAGCGGCGACAGTCTCGAAAGTTTCCGAACTCCAACAGGATTGTCAGGGGCATCTACACACGTGGCGAAGGTAGGCTCGTTGTCCACTGTGGATTCCTCCTTGGAACTCGCCGTCAAATGCAGGACTCTGGAGCTGCTTGCATTTTGCATGCGTTGCACGTTGCAGCATTGACCTGCAGGGCACAGCCCTAGGCAGTTGCCTCTTGTTCCACGCATGAGCTGACAAGAGCCGACGAGGACAGAGTCCTCAAGCATTTCTGCATTCTCATCGCCTTCTTCTATTTTCACGAAGGAGCTTCAGACGGAGGTGCGGCCATGCGACAAGACTTGCAGATGTAGACATGTTGCTGCAGATTCGGCAGTCTGCCAAGCTCTTGAGCAACAGCGAAGGGAAAGCGAGTCTCCTCAGCCCAATTGTCATGATGCCAGGTTGAACCTGAGATCCTCCGCGGCGTGTCCCTTGACGTTGCCCTCCAAGGGTTAGGACGACACTTGCAGCCACCAGATTCGGGCATGTTTCACGTGGATCCCAAGAACTACATGCTCAGCCGGAGAACAACCAAGTTCCATGCGCCTTGGGCTGTGGTGTTTCTTGGAGCTCCCGTGGTAGCCAGAGGCCTATGCTATGCTGACAGCCACAGTCATCGCCGCCTAAGGCCTTTCTGAGTCATGACTGGGAATCCTCACGCTGGATGAAGGTGATTGCCCTGCTTATCGCATTCAACGAAGCTCATCATGAATTCGAGATACCTGCCGCCGGTAGCAGTTGTAGATTGTTCGGTGCCCGCTTTATCCAGTGATGTCAACTAGTAGCTAGTAGTGACGTGCTTACCCAGGCACAAGCAGCCTCCATTACCACCACCGTTGTCAGCGTGCTGACAGGGATTTTGTGCGCTTCGGGCGTGCCCCGTATGCAGCTGGACGCACTCAACCCTCAACTGCAGTAGCAGCCTGTAGGAGCCACCGATCCGGGTGCAAAAGGGGCATGGCAGAAAGAGTGACTATGCCCCGCTCACTTGGCCAGATGCTGTGGGCGATGAGTAGATATGTTAAAGCACAGTCTCTCGAACCACCTGGCCCTTAACCGAGTTAGCTGGCTTTTCTTTGATAGTATGTCAAGCTCAAGACAGCTGGGTGGCTGTCGCAGGTGCTGCCGACCGACTTTTGGACTGCCATTCTGCCCCATGCAGCATTTTGGATCGTCCTTTTCTTCTGGCAGCGGATACGCAGCATGATTGGCTTTCCAGTGATGGTCTTTCTGGATAAGCTTTGCATCGCACAACATGATGAAGCGCTGAAGGAGCAGGCGTGAGTTCCCTTTGAAATCGCCGTCGACATAGACTTGAAGCAGTCGTGCTACGTTGTAGATGCACCAGGTCTCAGTAGGGAGTAACCGTAGTCGCGGTGATTTTGGTAATGCAGTCATCCCTTCCCCTGATCTTGAAGAACGCCCTCCCCATCCCCTGCCTCCCAGCCCCGCGCTCCCGCCCGACCCCCTCCTCCGGTAACATTACATAAGTATTCCGGAGCCCGAGCAATTGTTGAATATGAGGGTCTACTGTTAAATGAAAGAATTAGATAGAGCTGCCTTCAAAATCCTTTAACCCCAATGGCAAATCAATAATTCATTACTTCAGTGTGTTAATGACATTAATTATGTCTTGAATATATACACACTCAAGATTACTTAATCAGCTAAGCCACTGGGTAATTAATTGATAATTCCAGTACCCCCTCCCCCCTGTAATGCATTACTAGGTGGCCCCTTTGAAAGTTGTGCTCTTTGGGATTTTCAGGCACCTTTTATACATTAGGGTGATTAGTGATTAGATATTGGGCGGATTTCAAATTAGGGCAAGGGACGAGAATGTGTGCTTCGCATAGCGCTCGACCCTGATTTCAAGATGCCAGAAGGAATTTGGCACCTGTCGCATGCCAAACCCCCAACATCCTACTGCTGGGCAGGGTGTGCTTGGACTCGCCGCGTTTCTCCACCGATCTGACCAGCTCACAGTTCTTTGGTCCAAAAGGTACTTTCGTCGCCTTTGGTGCAGCTGCTGGGCTGATCAAGGATAGGTTGACGTTTCCGGGAAAAGCCTTAGGGCCATTTCAGCCTGTCATTCTTTTCGGGAACTGTGGAATCGCTTGGTGCATCTGATTTTTGCGTACCCTGACCGTCTCAGATACCAATATGATTTCTCATCATTATTTCATGATTATGAACCCGGGCAGATGCCCATCCATTCGTTGTGCAGGATCACTATCTGAAAAGCTGGGAGAGCCTTCAGTAGGAGCAGCAAGGTGATTATGCCCTGGGCGCAATGCCATGTGTGCATAGGTTCATCTGATAGGTTGAGAGAAAGCACGAAGAGGCGCAGATGATATGATAGCATTCTGACCGCTACCTGAACGGAAAACACCACAGACACTTCAGCAACGGCTGTCGAAAACTTGAATAGCCGACCAGCAAACCCAGGCTATGAGCTTGCGACGTTCATGAAGGACGCGGACAAGCACGCGTCTATCCAGTTTATTCCTTTGAAGATGGGTGTGCTGCTGAGCCTCCTGGCACTAGTTGGACTGACGGCGACCACACTTTTTTATGTCTCTTTGGATCTTGGTCATGGCCATATTGAGTACCCGTTGACTACTGGGCAACTGGGCTGCACTGGACACCACAGGACGTTCTCTGAATGATCTTTCACATCGTCGAAGCGAAGCCGCCAAGGACCCTGGCTGCTGGCGCGGTCTTCTTTTTCTGCCCCCTGCTCAACTACATTGGCATCAAGCTCATGCAGGTGGCCCAACGAGATGGGGCATTGCGCAAAGCTCACAGCATGATCTACTGTAGTGACTGCTCTGGTCAAGAGATTTCCCACGTTTGAAGTCGCAGGAATTGCGGGAGCTGCCCCACCAGGTGTGCAACTTCCGCGTCCAGAAAGCAGAGTGCCCGGAACAACACACAGATCTTGGTTGCTCAAATTTTGGAGACTACAACCCTCCAGCCACAGGTTTAGATTGGATTGGGAGTCCTGCTTGCAAGCTGAGGCATGATGTGCCCACTGGCTTAAAGCTAAGGTGCTTCTGTTGTTCGCGCAACCACCTGCACCCGGACACCGGTGCAGACATCCCATGTGAGCCTTCTCTGACCGATAGGGGAGCCTGCACTGCTTCTGGTTCTTCAGCTGTCTGCAGGAAGGTTGGTTTCTGAGAGCGTAGGATGAAGAGCCTCCTCAAACCTTCAGTTTCTAGTTGCAGACAAGAGGCCCAGCTTGTTCCCGTTGATCTAGGATAGAGCGACTGTCGCTCTGATGCTTCAGCAATGGTTCGGCCGGCCCGGCGATCTGGGTGAGGCAGCGGCGAAGTTGCTTTTGTAACGTGCCCCAGCCTACTAACTGGATTCGCGAGATCTCATGCGAAACAACGCACATGTTGGAATCACAACAGACTGGACGTAAGACAGCTAAACCGTAATGAAGCAGTCGCTACGGATGGACTTTGAAGCACTGAGGCCAGGGTACAATAGAGAATTCTGCAGGTCTGACTGAGCTTGCTTCCTGCCAGGAGTACTGCCGACGATTCAATCGTTTGGTGCGTCATCGATTAGGTCCTAAAATTCTACGATCCGCCACCCGGAGCAATTAGATTCACACGTGCGTGACATGTGCAGTGTAGACCTAGTGCTGACATCTACACATGTGTCCCATCCATCGTCAGCCAATGCCATGACTTAGGTTGGGGGAGATGCCCTGCCATTGTCATACGCGCTCTACGTGGTTTGTTGCAGCAACCCGTCTTACCGTTATCTAAGTGTTGCAGCGCATGCTGGACATTGCCACAGGCCGCTACTTAAGTGCAAGGGCTAAAGAGGATACTGAAAGTTACAACAGAATCGGATGATTCACATGCCTGAAAGTGAAGAGAGCGGTTCACAGTGAATGACCACTAGGTTCACTTTAAGTCCAGCTTCCTAATGTCAGGTAACCAGTGTGGGGTATCTTAATCTTCATGTCTGCCCAGGCAACATGCCATGGCTGTCCACGGTCATCACTCAAGTTGCAGCAGGTTCCTGGGCAAAACTGCCTTTCGATTAAAATGCTTCTATTGCAGGCTGTGCAAAGACTGTAAGGAGTAAAGCTGTTAGCCCAGCCTCAGAGGATAGTAGAAAGTTGTCCCGGACGCCTGTTTGGAGGTCCTCCGACTGCATCTGGAGTTGGATCCATGGTATGGGTCTTGCGGCATTTCCTGGAATGGGCACAACTTTGCCTGGCGATGCTTTGCATGATGCGCGTCAGCACACTTCTGTGGAAGGTGGGAAGCAGGACGCAACGGAAGGGCAGACGAATCCTGGCTTCCTTTGCCATCGTGGTCCCAACCATCGCGGTAGGGGCTATCACTTGGTGGTCTTTCGTTCTGATCTACGAAGCCACTTCGCAAGACAGCCTGCTTCCTGGGATTCCCTTCCTGCTCGTGCTCATCCTTACTGGATACCTGTATTGGCCGCCGCGTGGTTTTCAGAGCAAAGGTTTCTGGTGAGTGTAGGTTAACATGCACGGGCACATGCGTGTAAATCTGTCTTGAAGCACATTCAGGTCCAGCCCACGAGTTTCCGATCTGGAAGAGAAAGGGATGGAGGTGGAACCCGACATGATCTGCTCTCCAGGCTTTGGGAGACCTGGTGTTGAAGCAGCTGTAAATGCAAGGTTGCAAGACGGAGCGTGCAGGGCAGACTGTTTTACGCAGCGCAGTGCTTGCTTCAAATGCGATTTTCTGTAGACAGTCTTCGACTGCACGCTGTGCCCTCCATCTCGCCTCCTGCTCATGATCATCCAACTGCCCTGAGGTGTATCGACTAGTGCAGATGGATTCCGTTTCCGGTCACACCATGCTCAGCCTGGTGAACAACAAGGCCTGCGGACGCGAGGATGGCACTGCCAGGATCAAGACATGTCAGGAAGTGAGTTGGCCAACAGGGCATATCAAAGTTCAGCCTCAGTCACACCGGGTACTGACAGTTGCACTTGCATTTCTACAGCAACATGTGCAGACAGGTGCTAGAAGCGTATCCTGAAATCTCTGGAGGCCTTTTTTGCCATTCAGACAGCCAAGTTTAGTAGCCTGCGGTGAGGCCTCCATGCAGCAGGCAGCAGAAACCCTCAAGCAGGTACCTCTTGCAAAACAAGCCTAATGAGCAAATGTCGATGCTGCAGCAGGAATGAGACAGCTCGAGGACAGCCAAGCATGATTCGGCGAGCAATCTAAGGTCATGCCTTGGGTACAATGGTCCAGCGGCACGATCTCAGTGGAGATGGTCTAGAGGAGGGCCATGAAGGACCGCATTCGAGAACACGAGGTCTTGGCCGTGCCCGAACAGCCGAATATCCATGCTGTCTGCCATGCTTGGGTGACCTAAAGGACAAGATAGGACAAGCTTGTTGCTGCACACATAGGGTTGTCTAAGGCAAGTTCATGATGCTCTGCACGAACACACGACACACGACTTGATCGGTCAAAAGGTGCTAAAGGCTACAAACATGCATCAGCGATCTCAATAGGTTGCTTCAAGCAGAGAGGCGAGGCAAGATGTCTGGAGGCCCTGCATGTCCCAACACAGCCATGGATCTCCAAAAGTTGGGCCGCGCAGCTCTGTATCGCCTCCTTTGCCCCGAGCCGGAGATCTTCGGAAATTCTGTCACAAACATCTTCGCTACAGCGCTGCTGCGCTTCAATGGGAGGCGGTATGCGAGATTGTCGCGGCAATGCCAATGGCAAGGCATGCACCTAACACCCTTGACTTCAGCTCCATCATCACTTCTTCGGAGAAGTGTCAGAGATGGCAGACGGCGCTTGAGACTCTTTATAACATGCCCCCACAGTCAGTGCCAGATGTTGTTGCTTTCAGTGCAGCCATCAGCGGGTGTGCGAGATGCTCGCTGTGGGGCATGGCTTTGCAAACGCAATCCAGCATGCTCCTGGCCGCCATCCTGCCAGACATCATCGCATTCAATGCGGCGCTAGGTTCAGGGAGTGCAGGCGAATGGCAGCTGTCTCTGGGTCAGTTGGCACTCATGTGCGTGGCTGGGGCGGAGCCCAATGTCATCACCATAGGAGCAGTCATAGGCGTATGCGACAAGGGCTCACAGTGGAGAGTGGCCCTCCAGCAAACAATAGCAGCTCTTGCAGCCGGAATTAGAGTAAGTAGGATCTGTCTCAATTCAGCAATCAGCTCATGTGCTGGGAGATGGCAGATGGCACTCCAACTGCTGTCAGGAATGTTAGTCGTCTCCTTGACCGCAGATACTATAAGCTACAACGCGGTCATGAGCGCCTGTGGCGACAACTGGCAGATGGTCGTTCAGCTGTTCTCGGACATGCGTAGGGCTCGTGCTCCTTGGAACACAATCAGCGTCAATGTAGTCATCAGTGCGTATGCAGCAGCTGGATCCTGGGAAGCGGCGCTGGCAATGATTTGGGCAATGCCAGCAGTCCGAGTGCTTCCGGATGTCATTTCATTCAACACTGCAATAGCTTCATTAGCTTCCTGCGAGGTGGACTCAAGCTGGCAGGTGTCTTTAGAATTAATCTCGTGCATGATCACAGCAACGCTCAAACCGGACGCAATCACAGCCATTTCTGCAAACAGCTGCTTTGCTGCTGCCGGCCAGTGGCTGGTTGCACTTCACCTAATGTCCCTTGTTCATGCTTTCCAAATCGCGGCCGATGTGGCCGTCTTCACTTCTGCGATAAGTGCATGTGCAGGGAAGGGGCAGTGGCAACACGCGATCGCTTTTCTGTCGGGAATGCTCGAAGTACGCACTGAACCGAATGTCGTTGCCTACAATGCCACAATTAGCGCTTGTGAGAAGGGTCTGCAGTGGGAGCTGGCCCTTGTGCTGCTCTCTTGCATGCCTAGTTTCGTAGTTGTGCCAGATGTCACAAGCTACAACGCAACCATCACTGCAGTTGAAAAGTGTTGGCTGTGGCCACTAGGTATAGAGTTGCTAAAAGCCATGTCTTTGGCGACCGTCTCACCCAGCGAAATCACGTTCGGCGCGGCTATCAGCGTCTGCGAGAAGGGTTCACGGTGGGAAGCAGCAATAAGCCTTTTGTCTGACATGTTTGAATGGACAGTGGCACTAAATGCGCAGCCGTTCAGTGCTGCCATTGCCGCTTGCGGCAGAGGTGAGCAGTGGGAGATTTCAATAGCGTTGCTGCTGCATGCTCTTGACGCCGGTGTTGTTGAAAATGCAATCATCTTCAACTCTGCCATCTCCTCTTGCGAGAAGGCCGGTCAGTGGCGAACGGCGCTCCGCTTGCTGTCAGATATGTCCAGACTCAAAGTTCAGCCAGATGAATTTAGCTTTACTGCTGCCATCAGTGCTTGCGAACATGGTGAGCACTTGAGTCAGCCTTCCAAAGTGTTGGCCGTCTAGCCGCACTGTACAGGCCTCAGGGTTATGGAGATATTCGTGGAGCAAGACTTCTGATTTCATGGTGATGCTGATGGCCATCTGGAAGGGCCGATGCTGCTCAAATGCCGACACTTCGGGGATGCCGGCATTTTGCCCAAAGCATGGCACAGTACACGACCCCGTAACAGCTTCCCATGTCATGCGGATTCTTATGAAGTTGAGAGAGAGAGAAAGCAGAAGCAATAGCATCCCCAGGTGGGTAGTTCTCAGGTGAATACCTTTTAAAGGAGATGTATGTAGACCCATTACCCTGATACAAGCCTTTTTTGAGCCTCATATGTGGGCACCCGACTGTTAATTCCCACTTAGACGTGTCCTGTGTTTTTTTGTGGAAGGAGGCTGTCAGCCTGAGTTAAAGCCTTTGCCTCACTTGGTGCTTACGGAAGAGAGGAGTGAATCACTGCACTGGATATAAACCTAGCCAGCATTATACAGGCGAGTCGGCAAAGCAGGCTGTGTTCTGTGCACAGAGGCAGCGGTAGCTACCCTTCTGCACCACACGTGTTGGATTTCTTCACTAATGGTGCAGCTCATAGAACAGGTTAAGCATGATTCAAGCAACCCAAATATGCCTACCTGACATGCAACCAACATGTTATGTAGCAAATCAGCAACGTGGCTTGTTGACACGCATGTTTGTTGAAATTAGGCACGAACAGTCGGACGACTCTGTCGACTGTGAAAGATAACAAGCCTAGCTGTCATCGGTCGCTTGAGGGCTGTCGTTGCAAACACAGTATGATTTGCCGGCAAGATTTCAGCCAGGCATGCGATACTTGAGGAGTGAGCATTCGCACAGATGTTCAGACCCAGCAAGGGCAGATAAGTAAGGTTTCATGGCCCAGAACAGAGCGCATGCAAATAAACAACGATGTTGGGCACGAAGGGTCTCCCGCATTTGGTTGCGAGTTAAAAGCTCTGCAAGTTCAAGGAACCCAAGTGGCAACAGTTCAAACATTTTGCCAAGCGTCTGTACCCTGCAAAATCATTAAAACGCCGAGCAGGACAGACGGAGGACTGCGCCACGTTTCATGTGTGAGGAGGTTTTGGTGAAGGCCAAGGTGAACCGCTGGCAAATCTTGGAAGAGTGTGATCATGTTCCCAAGCATTTCTTATAGCCGTGCAGCTTGAAACGCTCTACATGCGCAGCATGTATGTGCAACTAGGCTGAAGGCAAGGCATTACGCACGAGTATGATTGCATCTGCTTGCCTACGGTCGGCATTTTCTCTGGGCATGCACCAAGACATGCCCTCCGCTCAGGTGCCATCAGCAGCCGTCAGCCAGTAGCTGCAGCAGCTACGGTCTCCTTGAGACATACCTCAAGATCTCAAGAACTCCAGGAAGGAGTTGCTAAAACAATAGTTCAACAAAGTCCAACGTTGGCCAGACTTGATCTTTGGGTCAAGTGTTGTTGTGGTTAAGACCGCACCCCCTTGATTTTCCTGCTCTCCTCCATTCGTTGGAGTTGGGAGCATATACTGTCTGGCAGCTGTCCGTCATAGGCGTTCCTGCCAACAGCGAAGCAAGGGCCAGCCATCGAGATTGCAGTTTTCTTCCTGCAGCACTAAAGTGCGCATAGCTTGATGGAGGTTTGATTTGGGTGCGGGTTAAGTACACGGTGCCCCACAAGCATCGAGCTCACAGGCCCATTCCCACACGAGGTTTCGTAAAACTGCGGAGTGATCTCAACTGGCACCGTGATTCTGTTTCACTTTAAAGCACAGGGTTGTGAGTCCTTGAAAAAACCTTAGCCTTAACCCAAACAAGCTGACCTCCATTGATAGTCTGGCATCTATTCGGCCTGGCACCCTGGGTTTTTTCCCTGCCGACAAGCATTGAGGTTTGGTTGTTGGAATCGAACTCTACCGTCTTGCCCGATAAACAGGCAGCAGCCCGGGTGCCTAATTCCCCCCCCGTCTGATTTCTGGGAGCTTCAGGCAGCCGACAGACAAGCCTAGCGTAACACTTGCAACATTTGGTTCTCGAAAAGCCTCAGGAAAGCTGCCATGGCTTTGAGAGGACTACTTGTGATATGTGGTTGCATGACTGGATGACTGAGGTGGTCTGACGTACCCTAGCCATTGCAAAGGTTTCCTACCCTGTTAGAACGTCACTCAGACAAAAGAGCATGCCGACATCTATCATCAAGGTTGAGGTGCAATGCTGCACCCAAATTGAGCAGAAGCTCTTAGACTTTTGCACGGTCTGGTTCACATTGGTTCACCAAACTTTATGAGGCTGGGTCGTGCAAACAATGCTGGAACATGAGCCTGGCACAGGCAAGAATAGTTGTTCTCCAAGCCGGGCACTTGAATTTTACGCTTGTTTGCAACGATAACCAGGACCTCTTTAAGCTTCAGCAGCTTCGCTGCCACCAACAATTCGCGTCTCAGAATGGGGTCAGACACCAGACGAGTGGCTGGCAACGCTGAAGAAGTGAGGATGCAGGTTGGCCAGATCATGCGTTGACTCCATGCATGTATTGAAGTTATGATGCTTATATTGGATTCACGGCAGCCACTTTGTCTGGGTCGAGGCGAATATGTGAAGGTGGTAGCTCGTACCGCAGTTTGGCAGACATGAGAGGAGGTTAAAAGTGGCCGCACAACTGTCTTGCCAAGATGCTATGGATTTGTGGGGAGCTCGCGTGCCATCGGCAGGGCAGTCTTCATTTTGAGGCGGTATAATCAGTGCCATTTCAGCGGATCAAAGCCTGGGCGCCAATCCTCGGGGCGTCAACGAGGCCGTGTTTTACAGGGATGAGGGGTGCTGCTTCGTGAAGCTTGCTTCGGCAATTCAGGGACGTTTCTGACTCTCAGCACATGGGAAGCAGGCAGCTTTCTACCACCTGCCAGGAGACATGCTGCGCTGTGGACGGGCCGGCAGCTTCAAAGATAGTGTGAGATTGAATGAGATATTTATTGGTTGGTGTGTCAAGCCTGCCCCCGATGAAGGCTGGGCGACCAAGCCCTGACATGACTATAACGAGTCTGACATCCGCTACGCAGAAGGCACGTGTTGCAGCGTTACTAGATGGAGAGCTTGACAGCACAATGTGCTCCTGTGAAGGCTTTGCTTGAAGCGGACAGCAAAGACGCAGAGCTGGGCAAGGTTTGCAACTGTCTTGGCAAGTTCCACGTTTGTTCTTGTTGATGACATGCCCTAGTACTGTCATGGTGGCTCATCCTCTTGCACGGTTCCTGCGCAGACGCTGAACGGGCTGGTGGCGGTGGATGAGGTAGCCCCAGAGCGAAGGATCAACCCTGGCACCTGGTACCTCTGTCGAGCTTACGGTTGAAAAGCAACACCCCGCAGTCATGACTGCTTGCCAAATTCTCTCGAGATTTCCAAAATCAGGTTAAAGAACCCGACAAACAACAGGCCACGTTAAACATTCAAATGGAAGGACCGTGTATACTTGCAGGTCATTGCTTTGTTTGCAGCAGCAGGGCATGCACGACCAGTCTTGACATTGGCGTGACATGCAGGCATGCGGTAGATATGGCTTGAAAGGATGCAGGTGGCATTGTGAAAGTCGTACACAATCACGTCACGCCGTCACGCCAGGATTTCTGAGCCGCCTGAGACCACAAATCTCTTGAAGCCTGACTCTCAGATGCTCACCAAGCCTGACAGTGCCGGGTTCTGCCGGAGGGCTGTGCGGAAGCATGTTTGTATGAGCTGGACTACCAGCAGAACAATCCTGATTATAGTGTTGATACTAAACATCTTGCATGACCTGAGAATAATATGGTACCATAATTCCCAAGGTATAAGAGACCTAAGGTAACGCAGGATTTTAGCATCCACCGTAGGAATCCCTAAATACTGACCCCCGAATTCTGGAACCACCCAAGTACCATAGTGTTCCCAACTTGTTTTATGCGAGTCTCATTTTGACTGAGATTCGGCGTCGCGCTCAACAAGGTGGCTGCACCCCCCAAGGAATGAGAGCCTGCAATGCCATGATTTGCCAGAGATTGTCAATCAATATATTAGCACCCCACAATACTAACCCCATACAACAAATTAGTGAATCTTCAAGTTTCCTGCTACTTGCAGACCTGCGGAGTTGTCTTCAACAGGAAGATTAAAAATTCATCTATTTTCATATTGTGAATTTTTTGCGCATATTTCAATACTCAATTTCCGAGGGGATGGAACACAGAGCCATTTCCACGACAAACCCCGTTAACGTCAAATTTTGTAGAGACCGGCTGTCCCCAGAAGGGGGGGTGGATTGGGGGGAGAGGTAGGGGGGGACTTGTTGAAAGCACCGCACCAACTTCAAGCTTTGAGGGCTTAATGATTGTAACGGGTGCAACAACTGCCAACCAACCAGATTCTTCCCTGAAAAGGATTGACGATTTGTAATTTTACTGCCTGCATGTTTCGCACAAATTCATCCCAATGGGTACAGAATTCAATCTAGCCTCCCACCAGCGGCGTCTCGACGAAACCGATCAGGGTCTTTTTCGCTTTCCCTTTCTTTGCCCCAGGCAGAAAACATTCACTTTACCCTGCCCTGGCCCCTACTATCATCACCTGTTTGTATTACGCCTCCCCGGGCATGAGATCCCCTAGCAAATGGCCAGAAGGGGGGCGGAATGCGGAGAGAGGGGGGGGTGGGAATGAGGAGAAATGGGGGGATAGGGGGAATGAAGAGTGGGGGGGAGGAGGGGGGATGAGGCGCCTTGGACTAAGGCGCTTCGTCCCCATCCTTCACTTTTCCCTCTGAATCTATCCTGCGTCGGCCGATTAGAATCACAATGATCCAATTATGAGAGAAATATAAAAAAATAGAAAATGGTCGGCGCGTATAGATAGTAAGTAGGGGGGATGGGGGGGAATGGGGATGAAAGAAGAGGCAGGGGATCTTAATGAAAATGATATCTTAGAATAATATAGGGATATTACGACTTGCGAGATATAATATTTAGAAGGATTAGAATATATTAATTTTTAATTCTCAGAAAATTTTTAGGAATTTAGAAAAATAGAAGATTTATCGAAATCTTAATTTTTATTGATAATATTTGATTTTTAGATAAAAAATCATTAGATCGATTATATGAATTGAAGATCACTATGAAAATTTATGTGATGTTATGACGAAAAATATGATTATGATTGAATGATAAATTTTAATAGGTTTATATAATTAGGATAAGAATAGATTTGCTAATATGATTTGAAAAGATATTGGAAGAGAATATAATATTTTATTAGCATTCATATGATTACAGAAAATCGAATATATAAAGAATAATTTTTGAATTATGAATAGATTCTCTATGAATTTACGATGATACGAAAATAGGAAATATTTTCGGATATTTTATATTAGCATATTATTAATAAGGATGAATATTTCTGATTTTAGATTCTATGACATATAGAAATTGAATATATATAGATATTGATTTGGTCAGATAATTTAGATTCAATAAAATCTTGCACGTTATAAATGATATTGGAAAATTATATTTATATTGGTATCGGATTGCCTCAAATTATTATATTAGATTTTTTTATACAATAATCTCTCTATCATTCTTAATTTGAACCCCAAAATTGAAGATGAAAAATAATTAGATTTCTCTTATTCAATACACTTTTTTCTTAATACTAGACCCTTATTTCTATTAACCTTTGGATGCATTGAATCAAATCAAAATACAAATAATCATTATAGAGATTGCCTCTCTAAAACGATTTATAGGGATCAATTCATATAGATCGCCCCGAAATCGTAGTGCTTCGCACATACGTCGACCAGGAGGAGATCAGGCAAAAGGAAACAATTCAGGAATTCGGAAGGGCAGATTTTCTTTCTTAAAGAAAAAACCAAGAACCCTAATCCAAGCAATTCAAGAATTCATAAATATGATTCATCAATTTGTCGCCATACACCGCCTCCGCGAGGCATGCCGGGGAGCCTAGGATCCAATGAAGAATATTCTCCAATATAGGGGGAGGGAAAGATCGCCTTCAGGATTTGAATGCTGCGGGTAGCTCGTAGAAGAATCTCCCGGGCCTGGAAAAGGTTACGAAAAAAAAAAAAATCAGAGGAGGGAGGGATAGACGTCTTTCTTTCCTCCTCCCCCCTCGCACAAAAGCCTCCCAAATACGCGCCAAATGGTTTAGGCAGATAATTTTGGGGCAGGAAAACCTTCAGAGGAAAAGGAAGAAGAGGCTCCCAGCCAGACCGGCCATACCGCAGCTAGGGTATAGGGACAAGCTCAAGCTTGATTCATTGAATATTCAGGATTTTATGGAATCCCTCAAACTAAAGACTGCTATAGATTTGATATCGGAGCTGAATTTGGTCATCTTCCTATTAAATGAGACCAAAATCCGATAGTATTATTCGTTCATTTCGGAAGATCATTTAATTATATTGTCAGATAATAATAAAGATCCCAATGCAGGAATAGGCGCAATTATTACCCCAAGATTTAGATCATACCTAGCTGATATGGTATAGATCAATCTAAGAATCATTCATCTTTTATTTAAAAAGCAAGGAGGCAATATTCATGCGGTTGGTGTCTATGGGCTGCACTCAGGTCTGGATTTTGAAGAGGTAAGATAGCCATTTTGGGACGTTCTAGATGATCCCCTGAATTCTATTCCTCATCCTGAGTCAATCTATATCCTTGGAGATTTCAATATAAGATTTCAGGCTCAATATAGATATGATCAGGAAGTAGCAGGGACTTACTCTTATGGCAAAGATAACAGATATATTGACCGCAACGCCGCATCCAATAGATCTCTTTACATAAAACATATATCCTCCCTCAATATGGTAGAAGATGCCTCTGACAAGATCTCCCAATCCTTTGGACCGCATCTCATTAAGGGACAAGGCTGCTCCACCAGCAGATTGGTCATAATTTATATTAGACCTCCCTCATTCTATAGCAAATATATTCCAAGGAGCATCATCAGCTAGGAGAAGAATATGCCAAGATTATAGCTCTGATAATTAGAAGCTTTTTGGAGTCTGCTGAATTATTCCCAAGCCCTCTGCCTCCGCCTACTCCAGATCCCATCAGATTCCAAAGACTAGATCATTGCTTTGTTCGTTCGCAATGGCTCCCATCAGTTCTCACCTGCCGTAGCAAGCTTAAAATGGGATATCCATCTGATCACTTTCTCCTAATTGTAGAAGTCAGGGCTAAGCTTAAAGCTAAACCTAGGCAACCCCCAGCTTACAATAGATTTGCAGTACCTGAGGAATACCAGGTTGCACTTTATCGTTCGCTGATTGCAGAAAAACCTATATCCGCTATCTGTCCTGACCCCGTTCCTCCCGCAGACCAGCATACGTACACCTTTTATTCGGATGGCTCGGGCACAAAAGGGAAATGTAGCTCCGCCGCACCGGCTGGATGGGGATGGACACTGGAGGACGATGATGACTCGGTTTGGTTGGACTCGTGCGGTCCTATCGTGACCAACTCTGACCATAACGCCTTCGTAGGGGCTAAGAGAGGGTCTAATGACACAGATGAGCTTTCAACCATATACGAAGCACTATTGTTCGCAGAATAATGTAATATGCAGAAAGTGCAGATCAGAACTGACAGCAAGTGGAGCATCAACGTCATCACGGGGAAGTGGAGAGCTAGTAGCCATAAAATATTGGTCAACCTCATACGGAGTCTCCTTAGAGTCTCTAATATATCGGTTTCCTTTCACTGGGTTAAGGGTCATTCAGGAGTTAAGGGCAACGAAAGGGCTGATAAACTAGCGGATCAGCGAAAGGATATTCAGGAAAGAATGGGAGGCAGACTTCTCGCAATATCGCTTCCGACTTGCGCACTCAGCCCTACAGACCGCACCGCCGGGAGATTTATTGAAACGCTTAAGCAAGCTGCAGTTAAGTCCTTTACCCCCATGACCTACGCGCGCTGCACACCCTGGATTCAGCAAGAAACACTACACCTTCTAGAACAGGCTAAGCAGGCGGAGGCCAATTTAGACCCGAATGCCAAGTATTTGCGTTTAGCTGCTAAGAGACAGGCCAAAAAGGATAGAGTCGCCTGGGTGCACAATCAGCTTATACGAGATCCCATAGCAGAGCACTCTATAGTATGGAAAACTGCTAGAAGATAAAACAAGGTTTCAGAGCCAGAAAGCAACATCTTCTCGTGCAGTTTAAATCTGGTCTTAGAGATCATCACTAGAATAATCATTCTCCTACAACAGAGGCCAACCTTCAGAACTTAAGGGAAAGACCCCCGCTCAGACCCCAACTCCCTAGTCTAGGTCCCATCACCTTAGAAGAAATATAGGTCTCAATCAGAAAATTCAAGCAAAATAAAGCCCCCGGACCGGACCTAGCTGAAAACGAAATTTATCTTTGGCTGGATACGAACGGGGAAGAACAACTCACACAGATCTTTCAAGATATCTGGGGGGAAGGCTGCGTTCCAGATAAGTGGAAATATGCCTCCATAGTCATGGTTTATAAGGGTAAGGGATTGGACACGGACTCCGTTAATTATAGATCAATTTCATTATTTAATATCATATACAAGTTATTTGCGTCTATATTGCAAGCTCGCATTTCATCCCAATTGGACGGATCTTTG